GGGGGGGGTTGCTCGAGGTTGAGATGAGGGGATTGGGAATGATCTCTGAGATGTTCTTGATGTGATAGCATGTGTTCATGGTGGTGGGTGGGGATGTGCTGTGCCCTTTTGTACTCATCCATGACTCAATGGCTGCCGTGGAGAGTGACTGTGATCGCTACGCAATGGCTCGATGTCATATTTTGAACAGATACAGCAACCAGGTGAAGGGGATCTTCCGACAATCAGTGATGGGATCTATCTCATCAAAGCCCCTCTAGGAAGTTGCATGCTACCTGCTCAATCGAAACCAAGGCAGCAAAGATCCCGATGTCATCATCTATTGCCAATCGGTGGAGACATTTTTCTTCTCTGTACGAGGCAAACTTGTGATATTGAACGCATGACCATGAATGCAGTCAATGATTCAATAGTCTCACTGCATGTTGCTGCATGCTGTGCGTCATGGCTGTCTGCCCCAGAAGCCTCACTTTCGGTCACATCCGACCGGACATGCCGGGAGCTACAATGTGGCACGGAACTATTACCTGGTCATACGTCGGGGAAGTGGATGTGTGATAAATTCAGGCTCCCTAAGACTAACAAGCGTGGTGGGCAATGGGCAGTCTGGCCAGCGAGGCCGAGGGTAGCTGACAACGTCGTAACCAGGAAATGCATGGTATGTATTACCTATGGGAAATGAACTAAGATGATATTCACACCTTCAGCGGTATTACCTCAGCTAGAATTTTCTGCTCATCCTTCTCCACCGCATCCCACGCCTTGTCGACAATTTCCTTACGTTTCTCACTTCGGATGACCACCGACGCCGGGAAAGAAGGCACCTGATTGAAGGCCGATCCCCCACCACGGGGCTGCATCAGCTCATCTAGATCTAACTCCACCTTTTTACCATTTTCATACGCATGGCCAAAGTCATAGGCCCAGAAGAGGCGCGCAGTGTTAATGAACAAGTGCTCGCGGGCCAGATGTTGGCCGGGACATCCGCGCAGCCCAAAGCCGAAAATCACATGGGGCAGATCGGGGTTGTCAATCCAGCGCTGCGGACGGAACGTGAAAGGGTCATCATAGACGTTCTCATCGTGGTCCATGGCCCACTGATTCAGCACCAGCGTCGCCCCCTTGGGCAGCAAGTAGCCTTTGTACTCGATATCGCTGCTGATGGCGCGCGGCGCTCCCAGCGGCGAGAAGGCGTGCCACCGCAGCGCCTCGTAGACGAACGCCATCACCCAGGGAATGCGGTCTCTGTGCTCCCAGTCCGGCAGCCGGTCGGGACCAACTACCGCATCAATCTCCCGTTGCAGGCGGCGCATCTCATCGGGATGGAAGATGGCCGCCAGGACGATGATGCGAAGGATCTCATACGGGGTCAGCGAAGCCTGGTAGGTCGAGCCGATGCAGAACGAGAGCTCCAGCTCGCTCATCCCCTTCGCCTCGGGCCGTGACACGTATTCCTTGGCCCAGTTCCACGCCGGCGTGCTAAGCCCATCCCGAAACCGCTTCACATAGATATTCGCCAGCCGCTCCCCAACATCATCCAGCTGCTTGAGGAACTTGTCATTCCCCGGGAGATACTTCAAGATGGGGAAGAACTCGCGCAGCATGGCGGTGCCCGCGAACATCGACTCGGAGATCCCGCCCAGCTGGGCCACCGCGCGGTCGATATCCAGGATCTCGGCCGTCTCCTCGGGAAAGCGGTGCCCGTAGGCGATGCCCAGGAACAGGCTCGCAGCCTGCCGGCGCACGCACTCCGTGAAGCAGTCTCCCTTGGTCAGCAGCTCATGCAGGAGCTGCTTGGACTCCAGGTCGTTGATGCCTCGGTACTTCACCGCCATGGTGGGCTTGAGCACGGCGCCGCGGAGGGCGCGGTGCGTCAGCCACTTCTCCCCGTAGGGAAGGGCCGGGGTCGTGAAGCCGTACAGCGCGCGCTCGAGCACGAGCAGCTGCGGGCGGCTGCTGAAGACGGCGTTGTGCTTTGCCAGGAAGGTCTGGACGACGTGGTGCGAGGAGACGATGATGGTGATGTTGCCCCCGTTGTTGACTGTCATGATCGGGCCGTATTGATCGGACCATTGTTTGTAGACTTCCCATGCCTTTTGGCGGGGAGCTTGGTGAAGGTTTCCAATCATTGGGAGCCCTCGGGGGCCTGGAGGGAGGGGCAGTTGGGACTTTTTGCCGGTTGGGGTCAGATGGTAGTAGGATAGGATGAGATAGATGGTGATGAGAAAGACGAGAGCTAGACCCGTTGGGGTCAACGCAGCAAGGGAGATTGAGAAGGCCATTGTGAGGTTCGGGTGGTCTCGAGCTGGAGGGTGAGAATCACCCAGCACAGTTGACAACTTTGAGATGAAGACGAAGGTGAGAGGAAGGACAGAGGTGGGCGGGCGACTGTGCCTTTGCGAATTTGCGAGTGCACTGCATGAAGTCACCTGTCTCTGGAATCTGGCGGTGATGTAGGAGGAAAGTTGCCCACCAATATTTGTCGGAGCTGTCATTGAGATAGACAAACTTGATTCCTTGTGCTACAGCTACTGTTGCTGTTGCTCTCGCATGACGCACAGTGATTCCGCAGCTGTCAATAGACTCGATGTCTTATGGTAGACCATCGCGGGTGTCTACTTGAGCTCAGATGATTGGGCTCGATCTACTTAGCCAGCCTCAGCCTCCACTGATGATCATTTCCGATTGTCCCGATGCCGAAGACACATCACCTTCTCCTGTGCAGCTTGTCATATATTTTCATGAAGACTATTGATTCTGGCTGCAGATCATGCGGGGAACCTGGGATCTTCGTGTGGCTCTGGCCACCGCCAAACTTGTTTGTTCAGGATGTTTGTATGATCTCCACGGATGGCGGCAGTCTACGGTACACAAATACTTCCGTCTCGGCTGCATGATGGCAATAGCCCGGGTGATCGACATCGATCGAGAACGATCGATTCAACCCAACCTCATCGAGTGTGTAATTTTCAATTCCCCAATACACACGCCTGTCTGTTACCGTTCCGACTGGTGAAAGGATAAGTAGTTGTGGCTCACAGCAGAAACGCACAAGGACATCCAGACAGACAGACCCATAAACTCATTGCAAATCATATTCCCTGTTGCACTACGCAATGATGACCGTCCTTGAAGAGTCTCTCCAAGAGAGTCCGTTCGAGGGCCTATCCAAGGAGCTCAATCTCAAGAGCGATGAGGAAAGGCTCTGGTGGGAGAAGACCGGGGTGATGCTGTCGAGAGTGCTGTCGTCTGCCAGCTACACCCGCGACGAGCAACTCCAATACCTTCAATTCTATGCCCAGGCTCTGCTTCCTCTTCTGGGCCCTTATCCGCAATCCTTCCGCAGCTCGATCACGCGCAGTGGGCTTCCCCTCGAGTTGAGCATCAACTATCAGCAACAAGAGAAGCCACTGGTGGTCCGCATTGGATTCGAGCCGCTCAACGCCCTCTCCGGCACCCCCAAAGATCCATTCAATTGCCTCCCCGCTTCCGAGCTCCTGTCCTCGCTCGCCCAGCTGCGGATCCCGGGCTATGACGAACAGATCTGGCACCAAGTCATCCAGGACCACACCGTGAGCCAGGCTGAGCAGGGGGCCTTGCAGGGCGTCGACCTTGAGGCGGGCTACATCCGATCACAGACCGCGTTCGGCTTCGACCTGAAGAGGGAGGGCAAAATTGCGGTGAAAGGCTACAGCTTCCCCGCCTTGAAGTGCAAAGTCACTGGCCAGTCCATGGCCCAGCTGATGGCCACCTCGATCGCCAACTTGACCCCTCTCATCGACTGCTCCCCGGCGTTCGCTACGGTGGACGCCTACCTGCGCGAGGTTGGCTACGACGACCGGTCATTTTTCTCCTGGGACTTTGTCGACCCGGCCCGCTCGCGCCTGAAGCTTTACACCGGCTCCAACAGTGTGACGTGGGAGAAGCTGGCCGAAGTCTGGACGCTCGGCAACCGCGTCCAGTCCCCGACGGTGGCCCGCGGGCTGGAATACCTGCGGCAGCTGTGGGATCGGATGCAGCTGGCGGCCGGTGAGCGGGATATTGTGGTGGCCTTCGATGACCAGCAGAGCACCTCCAAGGCCACCCCGTTGCTCTGGAACTACGAGATGCGCGCGGGCAACCCCACCCCGCTGACTAAGCTGTACTTCCCCGTGCATGGGGAGAGCGACTGGAAGGTGATCACGGCGGTTGCCGACTTTCTGTGTCACATTGGGCTGGAGCGCCATGGTCAGGGGTATGTCGAGAAGGTCAAGTCGTACTAGTAAGTGTTTTCGATGCTTGCATTCGAGTGTCTTGACTAACTGCTGGTTTCATTTCAAGTCCCGGGGTTGATCTCACTACAACTGATCGGTTTACCTCGTGGGTTTCGTTTGCCTACACGGAGAAGACTGGGGTGTATCTGAGTACTTATTACCATTCTTCCACGGATAATCCTTGGAAGATAACGGTCGAAGAGGAGGAACAGGCTTAAACTCTGAAGCTGTCTCATCACAGTTGAATAGTGTCAGCATACCCTGTAGCCTTTTCATGTCAAACTCACCTGAATCAACGCACCGTCCAGTCAAAACAATCACACATACTTTCACATTTTTCAATATCTCGTAATATTCATATAAACTCACTACAACAGTGGAATAAGAAACTACAACCCCCCTCTCAACCCAAAACCTCAAAAGTTCTACTCGGAGATCCTCAGCCCCTGCACATCCAACGGCTCAACCACCGTCTCCGCCTCCGCACCGGCGCCCACGTCGTCCGCGTCGTCCGGCCCCCAAAGCTCCTCGACCAGCTGCATGGTGCGCGCATGCTCCCGGTCCGCATTCGGCCCCCCGAGCAGAAACCACTGCACGCACAGCGCCTCGCCCGAGGGCAGCAGCTCCTTGTAGATCTTGCCGCGGCGCCCGACGTGCACCTCGCCGATGAGCGGCTTGAGGTGCGGGTCGCTCTCGCGCAGCCGCCGGAACTGTCGCGTCAGCTCGTCCCTGTACATGTTCCAGTTCGGGGTGAAGGTCGGGTCGTTGCGGCCCGCCTCGGTGTCGATGAGCCACACGTACTGCTCGTGCGGGTGGTGGCGCCGCGGGATGATTACCCGGGAGCGTTGGGGGAGTCTTACCATTTTTCGTTTTGGTTGTGGGTGCTTGGTTTGGTTTGGTCTGGGGTTGGGGTTGGGGTGTTATTGGGAAGGTTCTAGTGGGTTGTTGGGTGATGGTAGTGGGTTTGGTTGAGTTTTTATATTGATGTGCCAGTGGCCGTCGGGGTGGTTGAGCGGGGGTTGGCTTTTTTTGTTCTTTGAGTGCTGTATATGTTGTTTGGGATACGATGGGATGTTTAATGGAGGTTGTCATTTCATGATTGTCTATCATTCTTGCTGTGATATACGTGAAGATCTGTAAAGGACCTGGTTGGCATTGTTTGCATGAAAGATAAAGGTAATTTCCTCAAAAGACCGATAGGTGTCGTAAGCATAAGGAGCTCTTTATTCTGATCTATAGAAGCTCTTAGCTCTTTGGGAGTCTCACGCGAACCGGTAATTGTATTATAGTATGTTGTGAAGATTCGGATAGGATGAGTGGTTTGCATCATTGTGATTATGTCTATGATTGTCATGGGTGTAATTAGTTATTGCCTAACCATGTACCTTAGTCAATTACCTTGAGCATTTGAAAGCCATGCCCGACACGCGGGAGCTCTTCTGGTAGGAAAGATCTTGATGAATAGAAAGAACATTCTTCCAAGTTGGATCTATGATACTTCGACTTAAATGCTGGTCAGAGAGATCCGTACTGTATGTCGAGGTATTCAGCGGCGGGGCTATGCCCACCGGTAGTGCTGTATGGGCAGTACGGTACGGTATCAGGAGCATGTATAATACCATGGGGTGTGCTCTGCTCCGCCTCCCGCTTCTCTCTTCCTCCTTTCCCCGCTTCCACTTCCTATTTACTATCATACTCCATCCGATATCGCCCATCACTAGGAATGTTGCAAGGCACATACTCCTGACCATTTCGCACCGCTTCTGCCACTTTTGAGAACTCCTTCAAAGCGTACTCCTGGCAGTCGTGGTCCAGAATCCACGCCGGGTGCGGTGGCTTCACCATCGTCGGGTCCTGCCGCAACGCGTCGAAGTCGACATGATTCATCACAAATTGCAACACCGCCAGGCCACCTTGCTGGACGATCTGAGCACGCCGGTATCGGATCTTCTCCGTGACTGACAGCGCCAATGGTACATCCTTTTTCCCCGCCAAGTCAAGGGCGATCGCAAGTGTGGCGGCGTCTTCGATAGCCTGGGTACCTCCCTGTCCGCTGGACGGGAGCGCCGCGTGCGCCGCATCACCCACCACGATCATGCGGCGCTTGGGCGACAACCAGGTAGTCAAAGGAGTGCGAAGGGCTAGATTCTCCGAGATAAATCGACCACTCATCACCCCTTTGATAACTGCCTCGAGTTGGTCTCGTACTGCCCAACCATCCATGCACTGCAGAATCTGGTTCATTGTTTCATCGTCGTTCTGGGACGGAGTACTGGCGGCCTGTAGATGCAGCATCATGTCAATGCGGTCCTCGAGACTGGATGCAATCAGATGAGATGCCTACCTTATGCGAGCAGTACCAGAACAGCTCATTGTCCTTCTTCTTAGTCGTGATTCCGAAGTGGACTCCGGGTCCAAGCCAACCATAGATGCAGTCCTCGGATCCCGATTCTTCCTCACTGAGAATCCAACTCAGACTCGGACTGCAAGCCGCGACTTGAGCATCCAGGTACCCTCGAGAAGCCGCGTAGCCAGTCTCCTGCAGGTTCATCTGCTGGCCGGTAATGCTCAGTCGGCCCTGGCTGTGGATTCCTTCGGCGCAGATGACACAGTCGGCCGAGATTCGTCTACCATCGACTTCAATTCCAGCCTCGTCTTTTGTCTCCCAGTACTTGGTGACTTCAGAGCCCAGGGCGATGGGAATGCCAAGGCTCTGGGCGTACTGGTGCATGGCGGACACTAGTGCTCCACGGTTGACTGTATAACCGCGGCCCTCGTTGTATCCATGGAGCTCGAACGTGCCATAACAATAGCCAGTGTAATCAAACACTTTGGCTCTGTTGGTCTGGAACTCCAACGGGCGGATTAATTCGTGGAAGGCACCATCGCCCCATTTGGCAGTCACTCGAGCTCCGTTGGAGCCAATGCTGATTCCGTCTCCTTCTGTTAAACGATATCAGTAGTTGAATTGAAGAACAAGCGATTTGCCTCGAATCACGTCATTGACTCAGCTACTAACCCGTCTGTTTCAGCTCCTCATACTTCTCAAAAACCATAACATTATGTCCCTTGCTATGGCATTCGATAGCAACACTCAGCCCTGCAATGCCAAGACCGACAATGATCACTGTCAATTTGTTCGAGTCATTTTGCGCCATGCTCTCGCATGTCATGGTTGCTATCTCGTAATGTGAAGAAAATGATGTCGAAGACTTGTGGTCGAGCGAATTGATGTGGGCGCTCCTGCACCCCCAGATTGGCGGTCACACCTTTATGACTATCACGAATCCACCATTTGCATGAGAAAAGAAAAGAATCTTTCAATGTGATGAGACCAAGGTAAGACAATCAGCACATTTGAAAAATACAAAAACATGCATAATGTGGGACAGTGGTATCAATAGTGTATTACATTGCGATTTCCGTATCGAGTAAAGATTTGCGTCTTTCGTCCCGATATTGTTACGATGATGGAGAAATTGGCGAGGTGACCGACCATGTGCCCCATGTGCAGCAATCAGCCGCACAAGCTCAGCCTTCTATGACATCCAAGACATAAGCCGTCATCTAGGTGCAAATCACGGCATGTCACATACACCCATTTCGGAAATGCGGCGGCGGTAGAAGGCAAAGTGATGAAGTATGGTGTTGCCATAGCTTTCTCCACTCGGGCTTCAGCTGCGCCAAACGACACTATGGAATCGTGCCGGGCCTGGGCGCGTCTTGTGTGATCTAGATGCATGGACTTTCGCCTTCTATGGACGATGATCAACCTAGGTCACAGAGTTTCTTCCTCTACTGACAGCATGAGCTCAATGGCAGATACTTTAAATTTCAAAACCATTGTCGACGGAAAGACAAGCCGCAAGGTAGCAGAGGAGGTGCACAAGCAAAATGAGTTCTCCTAACATTGAGTCGTGCCTCTTTCCGTGCATCACCTCTTCTACGGGTTCATCGCCCGATGAGACAATTGTGTATTGGGACAAGTTTGAATGGGAGGTCACAATTTCCGAAGTCTCGCTGTTGCAGAGCTTGATGCAATCGTGGGCCATTGTGCTAGCTAAGTATACAGACTCTGAGACGCTTCGCTTCGGCGTCCTGTCTGGATCGACGGGCATCCAGACTTGCGATGAGATATCGGTCGAAGAATACGAAGCTTCTGTAGATTCTGCCGGGTACTTGTCAGACGCTGTCTCCCTCATACGCCGGAAGAAATGTCAAATCCATGAATGGAAGTGCAGAGACCGGATCAACACATGCGTCGCGACAGACTTACACCCGGGCTGGCTGAAAGACTGGAAAAGTTCTGTAAGTGCTACCGGCGTCAACAGAACTCGCACCTAGAAGACCAAGTCTGACATGTTGTAGTCTAATCATGGAATTCAAGTCTTGCTTGTGGCAACACAGCAAGAATGGCCATGCATCTCCTTGTATGGCAAGGCGGGCCTCGTTGACAAATCTTCTATCCGATATTTGAGCACCGCTCTGCACTATATCCTTGAATCCACCTTGGAGCGTCCGCAAGAGCTGCTGCAGAGCTTTGCTCTGACTCCTGACAATCATTATCGTCAAATCTGTGACTGGAACAAACACATCCTCGAAGAGCCGTTTGCCCAATGTATCCACGACATTTTCCAGGACAAATGCAGCGAAAGTCCAGATGCAGAGGCCATAAATGCCTGGGACGGTGCAATGAGTTACGCCTGCCTGGATCAAGAATCAGCCAGGATTATGAACCTTCTGCGTCTACAGGGTGCTGGACCGGAAACAATTGTTCCTTTGGTTTTCGAGAAGTGTAAATGGACTGTTGTTGCTATGCTCGGAGTTCTCAAGGCCGGAGCAGCTTTTGTTTTGCTGGAACCGTCCCATCCTTTGGAGCGTCTACAAAGCATTTGCCAAGACGTCAGGGCTCGAGTTCTCCTAACCTCTGAGCTTCACAAGAGTGTCGGGTTGCAGCTCGCCGACAACGTCATCTTAGTACCCAGTGATACTGAGAACAGAGCCCCGTGTCGTGACAAAGTCTCTCCGTCTCAGATTCAGGTTAAGCCAGGTAACGCAGCGTATGTTGCCTTCACTTCCGGGTCCACAGGAAAACCGAAAGGGGTAGTTGTTGAACATGGTTCGTTCTGTACCAATGCGATGGTCAGTTCTGAAGCGCAAAATCTGGACGGGTCCTCCCGCGTGCTTCAATTTGCTTCCTATGCCTTTGATGTCAGCATTCACGAAAGCCTGGTGCCTCTCATGCTTGGAGGATGTGTCTGCATTCCTTCGGCTTCCGATAGAGTCGATTGTCTTGAACACGCCATTCTCCAGCTTCGGGTCAACTGGATGGAGCTGACTCCATCCGTTGCTCGGCTCCTAAGCCCACAGCGAATCCCCGCTGTCAAGACGCTGGTCGTCGGTGGCGAGTCTATTGCGCCCTCGGAGGTCTCCCGTTGGGCGCCATATCTCCGCCTCGCCGTTGCCTATGGCCCTGCGGAATGTACGGTGGTATCGCTCGTGCATCCCAACTTCACCAAGGATGCTGACCCCTTTTCGATCGGTTGGGCCTGTGGGGGTTCAGTCTGGGTCGTCGAACCTGAGGATCACAACAAATTGGTCCCTATTGGTGCTGTGGGCGAATTGGTTATCGGAGGGCCCATTGTGGGCAGGGGATACTTGCATCGACCCGAACAAACGGTCGCTGCCTTCATTCAGAATCCTCATTGGCACAGAACAGAGAACAGCCGGTTCTACAAAACTGGAGACCTGGTGCGTCAAAGGACCGACGGGAGTGTGTCCTTCATAGGTCGCAAAGATACCCAAGTCAAATTGCGAGGTCAACGAATTGAACTCGGGGAAATCGAACACCAGGCTGCCGAATTCTTTCCAGGTGCTGCAGTGGCTGTGGAGGTTGGCAAGCTCTATCATGGACATTCGAGCTTGGTTATGTTTGTGGAGTGGAGTTCATCGAAGGAAGAAAAGAGATACAACAACAAAGATAGCTGTCGGGCGACTCATAAGGAATGCCATCGATTTTGGCCAAGGGCGCTTCGAGCTAAAACAGGCCTTGCAAAAATACTCCCGTCTTACATGGTCCCGGATTTGATTGTGCCCTTGTGCGTCATTCCTCTCTCCCCCACTGGCAAAGTGGACAGGAAGTCGTTGCGATCGATGATTTCTAGCTGGTCTAAGGAAGAGATCAGAAAATACCAGCCTACAGCGTCTTCCTTATCCTCCAAGGAAAGACATCACGATCCTGCTGCGCCAGAGGCCACCCAACATATGATCAAGATGGTTGCTCGCGTTCTGTCGCTCAATGCGAGTGACATTAATGAACACGATAGCTTTTTTCAGCTTGGGGGTGATTCAATATCTGCCATGATGCTCGCGCAAGAGTCCGAGAGTATACCTTTTTTGCAGTTTACTGTCGCGGATATCTTCCAATCCATTGATATCTCTGAGCTAGCAGCACGTGCACATACTATGACACTTGAGAAAATCCCCAGGGAATGCAGTATACCAAACCATACTCTGCCGTTCTCGCTCTTGAGTCCAGGGAAGGTGGACGCCTATATCCAAAATGCAGCGGAGCACTGTAATGTGGCTGCATCACAAATTGAGGATATGTATCCATGCTCGCCTCTTCAGGCGCGCCTGATGGCCAGAACTGCCAAGCAGCCAGGCGCTTTCCAAGGGCGTTTCACTTTCAAGTTGTCCCCAGGCCTCGACAAGGACCGGCTACGATGGGCTTGGAACCGTGCGGCAAATTCTCTTCCAATTCTTCGGACGAGGATTATCCACGCATGGCAATTAGGCGCCGAAAACTTTCTTCAAGTTGTAGTTCGGGACAAGGATATTGAATGGATTGAGGCAGCAACACGAAGCGAAAGTGAGGTGAAGAGATCCATGTCGTTTGGCTCCCCACTGATCTACCTGGTTGCTCTGCGTGCGAAACTCAATCCTACGTTGACTGTCGTCATTCATCATTCGTTGTTCGATCTGGTCGTCTTCCAGCAGATTCTCACGACGGTTGAAACTGCATATCGAGGAGAGGCTCTTCTCTCGCAACCATTCGCACCATTTATCAAGTATCTCGGAGATCTAAATGTACCTCAAGCGTCAGATTTCTGGAAGAGGGAATTTGCCGGCCTCAAAGCAGTCCCGCTCCTTTCAAACAAGAACTTTAAACGCTCGAAGCATTCGGCTATCAGCTGGACCCGCAGACGATCTCTTCTCCCCGACCCTAGCCCATTAGGAACCACAACGTCGTCGCTGATTCGCCTAGCGTGGGCAATGGCACTTTCTCAGTACACCGGTTCTTTGGACGTTGTCTTCGGCGTCACTGTCATGGGCCGCAGCATGCCTGGCACTGTTGACGTAAAGGGCCCTACCATTGCTACTTATCCTCTTCGAGTCACACTCCACGGTGACCGCAGTGTCAGTGAAACATTAAGGTGTATTCACGATCGGGCCATGAGCGTTGCGCCCTTTGAGCAGACTGGGATGCAACGAATCAGACAGTGTGGCCGTGAGGCTGCTATCGCCTGCGAGTTCCAGAGCATGCTGATCGTTCAACCACCATTAGAAAAGACACCTCTGGGCAGGAAGGGTACATCGCAGTTGATGACATTGGATGAGACCGGATCTTGGAAGCACAAGTCGTACACCAGCTTCAGCACTCAAGCCCTGAGTGTCGTTTGTGAACCTAGCGCTGATCATTTGGGAACGACGGCCTATTTCGACCGAAATATCATAAAGTCGTACCAGGTCACAGATATGTTGAGAAGTATGATTCGTATACTTTGCCTTCTTGTACGATATCCTGATGCCCCCCTGAGGAGGCTTCTCAAGAAATGTCCACCGACATGCGATCTTACCGACAATCGTCACGAAAGCGTCTCCTTGGCCTGTCTAGAAGAAGCAGCTTCTGGATACCTTGGACCTGGCATTCCGGTGATTGCGGACTGGGTTACGCCCCGGGCATCTCAAGCCCCTAGTCTCGCACTTTTCGTTGGGGTCGTGAGTTTAGATACATTGTCAGATGATTGCTCAGTCCTAACCAAGGTGGAAGAGCCGCTGCGCACTCGATTAATTCAGCTTATGCGTGAGCTACAACAGAGGCTTCTTGGGAAGACTGTGCGTTGTTGTTGTGTTCCCGTTTCCCTTCGGTATCAGCCATCCGTGACTCGTCTCCTTCTCGATCGAGCTAGTGCACTAGAAGCTGCCTCCAAGCTCACCTGGGCAAGCTTAATTTCGTGGCAATCTCCACGGGACTCCATTGCTAGCGAAGACTTGCTCCCCGTCGAGGTAGGATTAAGACACGCATTAGCGACAGTGCTACAGCTGAAGCCCAGAGAGATTGGTGTTGAAGATGATTTGGTTTCCTTTGGGTGCGATTCCCTTGTCGCCATGCAGTTCGCTGCCCAGTGCAACCTGGACGGTATCCAGGTGACGGTCGCGGATATCTTCCAGGCCAAGTCGCTCAGATCCCTGGCTCTAATAGTCAAGGGCCGCCTAGCGCAGCATTCTCAATCCACGGCATTAGCAACGTTCTCCTTATTAAAGCCGACGTATGAGAATCAAAAGTCCTTCGAGCAAGACATATTTACGACCGTCGACAGTGGCGGGTTGGGACAAGCGACCGAAGATGCATTTCCGTGCACCCCGTCGCATCTGGGACTTCTTTCTGAATTGGGCAATTGTCAATCGCATACGATCTGGGAGGTCGGGGGGCCTGATGAGCGGGTCAATCCTACGCATCTAGCTGAATCTTGGTTGAAGCTCGTTGAGCACCATGCAGCACTGCGGACCCTCTTGCTGCCCAGTCTGTCGAATCCAGCCCAGATATTCCATGTCGTGCTAAAGAAGTCCCTTGATGCCGTCGAGATCTTGACCGACATCGATGATTCCAGTATACAGGAGATTGCAAGGCGGCCTCGTCTATCGAGCTGCAATAACAAAGGACTTCCATACAAGTTCACAGTCTTCCAGAGCACAAGCGGAAGGGTTCTCTGCAAGCTAGAGGGGAGGTATGCCTTCCTTGATGCAACCTCGGTCATTATCCTCTTGACAGATCTTCGAAGGTCTTTACAAGGCATAACGCTATCGGATTCCACTGTCAGTTCCTACTCTTCATGGGTATCGTTTCAGCAAAGTTGGGCTAAGGACCCCTCGCATCTGTATTTCTGGGATCAGTATCTGGCCAATCTTCACCCTTGTATCTTGGCTGGTACGGTTGCGCATGACCGCAGCGCGATGCTCCCACACAGCCAAAATCATGAGAGGAAGGTTGCTGAGAACAGATGTCGTGGACAGATGCGATCCCACCACCAAACACTTCTTCAAGACACCCGCGCCCTGCGCGAATGGTGCGACCAAAGGGAAGTAACAATCACCAACGTGATACAGAGTGCTTGGGCGCTTGTGCTCAGCGAACAAACGGGCCGGGACGACGTCTGCTTTGGAGCTCTAGTCTCCGGCCGAGATGCACCCATACCTCACATCGGAAACATGCTGGGCTCGTTCTTCAACGTCCTCGCCTGTCGGATCACGGTGCAATCAGGCCCCGACCATTGTGTTCTTAACCATGTCCTGCAGGCTAATCGCCGCTCAATGGGAGAGCGGGCGTCCCACCAATTCTGTTCTTTGAGCGAAGTCACACGTCGGATCTTTGGCGGAAAGGAGTCCGGAGCACCCTCGTCCCTGTTCAACACCTGCCTATCGGTTGAGCAGCCGCTTACCGACCAGACCGGGCCGATGGATGGGTGCTTCAGGGTGCTGGAAACAGTTGAAGAGACTGAGGTAAGAATATCCCACACCCTTGTCCAAGTCGAGCTGCGTCTTTCGCAATTGGATTCAGCTTTGCTAACATCATTTTGGGTGCCAGTATGACATGGTAGTCGCCGCCACAGTGCTGTCTGACCGGATTGACGCTCAGTTGATGTTCTGGGATAGCTTTTGCGATGCCTCTCGTGCTGCGGACCTTGGACAGGTCTTGGCTCGGGCAGTTGAGAGGATTATGGTTTGTGATGGGATGGAGGTTTGTGCTTCAGATTTGAGTAAATAACAATCGGTTTGAGTGTTATGTTGTGGTCACCTTGGGGGTGAATTTCTTGGTTTTTGATTTTTTGGCTATGATGAGCTAGTATATTCAGTGCGTTGTACCGGGGTCCTGAAATTCTCGTGTTTGATGTTGAGATGGTAGTTGAAATTTCATGCATAGTTCTGACATCCAAGACTGCTCAGCTCTTTCCTTTCTATATGTACCTACTGGCCGAAAGAATTTGGTCAAATCACAAGACATTGTCTGGTCTGACATTTGTTCTTTGTGATGATTTTAGTACCTGCGCACAGTCACTCCTCGACAAAAAAGGCGGTCGATCGGGCGGAGATCCATTAAAAAAGGGGTGGCTGATTCTGCCTTGCAGAACCCTGGCCCCTACAGTGGGCTACTCGTGCCACTCTCATCGCCGCAAAGGAAAACAGAATGAAGCGTCAGCGTAACCAGATGGGCTGCGATCAATGCTATGCGCTAGGTGCTGAGGTCTGCTTAAAATTGCTGATAGCTACCAGAAACCTGAGCTGACCAAGCTTGCTGTCGCAGTGTGCCCAATGCCAGCCCACTGCTATCGGCACCTCGTCAACAACGCGAAATAAGCGAGTCGCACGCGTCAGCGACATTGATGCGTCAAGAGCCGGCTCGTCGCAAGAGCTGACAGTACCCCAAACACAGGACCATCCACAAGATGACCGCTCTAGCTATCATCGAACGTTGCGGGACTATGAAGCATTAGTCAATGGTCTTCGATCCAGGCTAGACAACAGGGTGCAAGCCGTTCTGGATGCTAGCGTCCAGATTATCCGCAACAATGCACCCTCCGAACCTGAGGCGAGGGAGCCAAACCCAATTGTTGAGAATCACTTACCTCGCATGCGAGAATTACAAGTTGTTCATGACGATGAGGACGGGTATATGAAGCTCTTCCTGGAGACGATCCATATCCTTTATCCCTTCATTCCCGAACGTCTACTTTTAAGCAAGTTTGAGCAATTCCGAACGGGGAGTAACACCGAGGAGCATCGTCACCTCTGGGCCGCGATATTCCGTAAGTCTTCCATCTATCCCTGTCGTTGGCTTTCACAATTCGCGGGAGATCCCATCCAAATCCACGCAAGATTTTATCTACGCGATCGGCTCTTTCTACACGACGCTGCCTCATATGCGGGGCACTGATAACAAGAACCATTCTCGGTACTTTGAAAAAGGAATTTGCGACATTAATAGAGATGATACGGGGGACTCCCTTGTCCTCATGTGGGCCCAGCTTGTGAAATGCTTTTATCTTCAGGCTCTGGGTAACTGCAATAGGTAAGTCTAGTTTTCCACCTACGAGAAACCTCGCTAAAGTTGTTCGTCCGCATGTAGATGCCTGAGCACTCTCGGATTTCTTCGAACATCTGCACAGGTCCTTGGCCTACACGAGGCGCATACCTACCATCATCCCTTCAGTCTACAGGATGATGACCGCTCACGTACTTGGTTCTCTTTGTATATCTTTTCCAGTCTACTCGCGCTTCAGCTCGGCCGACCGACCCCTATCAAGCCCGCCCCTCATCAAGACACGATGCTTCCGAAGAATGATGATAGTATCGCATTCTGTTCTTGCTCTGATGAAGAAGGTGACGATGACTCTACAAACGAGGATGTTATTAGCCATATGGAGTACTTTGTCCGTATGATTCGTTTCTGCAATATAGCATCTCGTGTCACCAGCTTCGAGCCGCCCCGAAGCAAAGCGTCCATGGAACAAATGTTGATCGTCCTTGAGTCTTTGGAGCACGACTTGATGGAGTCGGAACACGACATACCATGGAATTTCTGCATGCGCGGCCGATTCGGACCCCAGCAACGGAACAGTCGTTGATGACCGTTCGACAGGTGTGTTCATGCCTATTCTATTACCATCCGAGCCATTCTGCTGACGTAGCCCCTCACAGCGCAGGATGCTCGGCCTCAGCCGTTTTCACCTCAGTTCATTGATGTACAGGCTCTTCGTTGGCTCAGAATTGACGTCCGTGTGCGAAGGGGAATTCTCTTTTCGCATGTCTGAGATGCACGCTCGGGACATGGTGGCTCTATTTAAAGAGCCTCATCGCAGCGGGCGTCATATTTTAGATGAGTTTCCCTGGTGGCAGATGACGCCGTATTTGATCAACGCCAGCTCTTTATTCTTTGTCTCGGAGATATACCCCCGGTACATTGGTGTCACCTTTGTTCAAGGGAACAGACCACGACCGGAGGAGGCGCGAGCAAGTGCCGAAGAGTGCCTGAAGCTTTTGGGCGGCCTGCAGGTGGGGCAGGTGGGCTCTGCTGAGGTAAAAAGAGCAGCCAGGCTACTGAGAGGACTATCGGCCAAGTATAGCCGGACTGGGCGAATTGAACCTGCGTCATCTTCCAGGAGAGACGGCGTCGCTGTGGGTGCTTCTGATGAATGGTCCCCTGAGTTCTCGAGCGCCATGGCCTGGATCATGCATTTCTACGCTCCTTCTCCTATCCCGACAAGATCAACAGTACCGGATAGTTCCGATATTCAGATCGCGTAGTCAGACGAGACCCATTCCTGAGATCGACAGTTCAGGTATCTTATTCGACTAGGAGGAGCTTCCAAGGAAAGTGCAGCAGCTTGGATCAAGCAATGTTCAATACATGAAGTTGGATTGTTCCGGTCAAGGAAACGGGATATGCTTTGTTGGTAGGTATAACTCTTCTATCCGTCGGCGAACTTCACGAAGGGACTGTACATACCATTCGCACAAGATCGAAGAAAAGACTGTTTACTTTAAGTGAGATCCATTAGAGCTAATTCAATCAAACAAACCTCACACTCTAGAACTTGGCTCTCAAAACCCACCCTGTCTGTCGGATCCTCGTTACCAAGACCAGCATCGTTCCCGCCAGCAAGAGCAAGCCCGAAAAGATTTTCATTCCCGTGTAGGACCCATTGTCGTGCGCCAAAATCGCCCCCGCGATCGGGTTCGTCGTCAACCCCCCAATCGAGGAGAAGAGGTAGAGCACGCCGGTCCAGTACCCGATTTCCGGGAGAGGAGCCAGTTTCGCGACGAGGGCCGGCGGAAGCGAGAAGTACGCGCCAGACGTGACGCCGTACAGCACCGCGAAGGCGATATTTGCCGCGTCGGTCGTGGCCGGGATCCAGAGCCCGAGGATCAGAATCCCGGTGATGGTGCAGACTAGCAGGAAGATATTGTACACGCCGACTTTATCGGAGAGGAACCCCGCAGCCATGCGGCCGAGGAGGCTGTTTCGTCGGCTATTAGCATCTCCCTGGTCTTGCTACTGTGGCGAAAGGATGGGACGGTGATACATACCTCCCCGCATTCAACATGGGCACGACATACTGCGCCAACTCCAGCCTCATCCCGCTCTCTATCGCAGCCGTCTCCACGAAGTTGGTAGGGATATACACCCCGAACGTGAGCAACACGAACCCCGCTACGAGAAAGCGCATCTTTATCTCCCGCCAGGGACGCAACACCGCCTCGCGATCCATCTTCTTCTTCTTCTTCTTCTTCTTCTCACCACCATTCCCCCTCCCCCTTCCCGCACCCCGATCCCTAATCGTCAAACACATCACTCCCAACAACCCCATAATCACGAACGCCGCCACTCGCATCGCCCACCCAAACCCCACCTGCACGACCAGCCTGCGCGTCATGATCGGAAACACGATCCCCCCGACACTCGACCCCGACGCAATGATCCCGTACGCGGCGCCCCGCCGCCGCCGGAACCAGCTGGGGATCACGCTCATGGCCGGCTGGAAGATGGCGCAGATGCCCATGGCGCTGCACACGCCCTGCGCCAGCAGAATCTGGTAGTACTGGGTCGCGAGGGAGGTCATCAGGAGGCCGATGATGTGCAGGGCGGAGCCCGTGAGGAGGACGGGGCGGGTGCCGTGCGTGTCGCTCAGGTAGCCGACTATTGGGCCCTGTGGGGGGGTGGGGTTGTGGTTAGTGGGTGTTGATTCGTTGAAGGGTTGAGGTTGGGTAAGGTAGACTGGCTGGATTCGGAAGGGGAAAGGGAAGGCCCCGGGGAAGTGAAACGAACCATGAAGAACATGAAGAATACTTCTAGGGAAGGGATCCAGGCGATCGTGCTCGGTGCGTATTGGGGGAGGAGGGTGGTCGCGTAGTAGGTTTGGAAGGTTCCTATGCCTTTTTGGCTGTCAGTGGCTCTGGTGTCGCTGTGGTTCTGGGTCGACAGGTGTGCTTGTGTATGCTGGGATAGTGTGTGGATGGAGGTGCATGGCTGGCAGGCATACTATTGATCCAGCCGAAGCTGCAGAACATGGCGCACCAGGCCCCGAAGACGACGGACCATGCGGCGAGGCCGCCGTCCGGGGGCGAGTCGTCGATGCATTGTGAAGTGGACTGTGCTTGCGCGTTTTGCTTCTCTGCGTCGAAGAAGGTTGGCACTGGTGGGTTGGGTGGAGTGGGAGGTCGTTTGGTGGCGGTGTTGGTAGTATTTGGGTCCGGCTGCTCCGTTGCTGAGTTGGTCCACGCCCGGGACATGGTGCGCTTATCAGCCCCCCTGGAGAGCGAAGTCGATTGAGCTGCTCCAGAAGCCTGCCTTACGAGGGAACAGCCCATGATGGTATAAATATGAATAGGAGGTGGGGGGAATATTGTTGAACTACTACCGGATCCTACATCATCCCCCCCCCCCTTGCATGCCCAGGTATGTGGTTCGCCGGCAGACATGTCGACGGGTAAATTCTCCGACATCCCAATGTATTGTGGATTGGAGGATTGGAATCCACATTTTATTGACAGTAGTGCCATAAACCATCAAGAGCATAGAGGAATGGATCTGGTCAAGCGAGGAGTCGTGATTTAGTGGCTGGATATGCGACTTTAAGATTCATCAAAGTAGGATTGAACAGAAGTGGGAATCTAACGGGTTGAAAACAGGGAATCAAAAGAATGCAGATCAACACATCATTCCGAGCAGCAAAAGCGATCATCATCGTAATCATGATCCCCCGAACGCCATGTCGTTAAGAGTAAAAAGAAAAGCCATAAAGGCTGCCCCAGCCGCAGCAAGCTCAGCAGCACCGCTCAAGCAACACGTCCAACCTTTAATTTTCTCTTGCACCACGCCCGGACCGACTGTCGCGGGGGCTCGCGTGGCTCCGTACTGACGGCCGGGACTGGAGGTTGGGGTGCTCCGGGGCTGGGTCCCACGACCAGCAGGTATCGCGGTAGAGGAGTGACGGTCGCCCAGCTACTATGGACGACAACGGGAACATGGCTTGTGGAGGTCTTGCAGGGTCGGCGCAGGTGCTCGAATGTGCGTCGGCAGATTGGACAGCTTGGGTTTGGCCGCTTCAGCCAGTCGTCGATGCATGTTTGATGGAAGAAGTGCTGGCAGGGTAATTGGCGGTACGATTTGATGGAATCGAGGTCTTCGAGGCAGATGATGCATTCTTGGTTGTCTTCTTTGTTGGTTAGCGAGGGGCCCGGTGGTTGCGGAGGTAGCAGGCGCACGTACCTTCTAGCGAGGTGGGGAGGCTTTGAACGATAGGCAGTTGGTGGAGGTCTATCTCATATTGTATGGCGGACGGCTTGCCTTGTGCCATTCTGGAGGTTAATGCACAGTGTGCGCAGGTCTCTGAAAATTGACTCTGAAGAGAATGTTACTTTACAAGTCAGGCAGAGTCAGGGAGAAGGAGAAAAAAAAAGTAGCACTTGTTGACATTGAGCAGCGATGATGTGGGGTGCCCCTGGCCGTGATGTCATATGCTCATAAGGCTGAAATGACTTAATCCTCCAAAACAGGCTTTGGTGGAGCCCGCGGGCTGGGTTGTGCAGTGCCGTGGTTGGCGGATGCCCCTGCAGGTTTGACGCGGCACACGGGAAATGACGGCTGTGACACAATCTGCGTAATCCAGATGCCGAAGTCGTCGGCTTGCATCAGGTCTGGCCATCATGATAAAGGAAGCGCTGCAGCAAGCGTTGAACATGCTCTTTGTTCTTGATCGGTTGAACTAAGTATGATTTGTTCGTATACTGTGGTCGTTGTATAGTGGAAGGCTTCGTCTATATACTTCGATTCGAGTGTGTCGAAGCGACAGCCATGCCAAGGCAGGCGACCGTGGTTTATCAGTAACCAAGTTGTGACATCGTCCCAAGCGTCCTCCAATCATACTGCTGGACCGCAAACTATATCCAGGCCATTCAGAAACCGTGGCTAAGACTCTTGTGATAGGGACTTCTTGCGACGATGCGCAACAAGTATTCCGCTTATGTCGCCCTGCCTTTGAGCTTCCGATATACAACATGTAATTTCCGGACTTCGAAGAGGCTCGTTTGGTCGTCCAACTCGAGTGCCCCGCTAACGGTATTGTCGGCTTTTGGCCTGGAGTCGCTGTGTTGCATCTCTCAGGTTCGGCCGACCGGCATGGTCTCGCATGGTTTTCGACGAACCGTGGTCGATAAAACGCTCATCTTCGAGGAGGAGGATTGTGCCGTTATCCGCTGGAGTCTGAATTAAATCTGATGACTGGATAGTGTCAGTAAGCAACACTGAGCCGGTAAGGGAAACCGATAAGAAGCAAGAGTAGTCGAGGTGTGCGTTGTAGAACACACCTGTAGGTATCATCCATTCGCATCCTCCCAAGGTAAAGCCACGGCTTCTATGCCGTCAGGCTCAATGTACTCAGGTGCTCCGCATGGGAGAAAAAGAGGCCTGTTCAGTTCAAGATGTTCTGGAAGGGGAGCATCAGCATGTGACCGAAAGTCAAGTGACTGGCTCAAGATGGAAGGTCAAACACTCCGGGGCCTGAGGTGCGGACTTTCGCTACCACTTCAAAAGTCCCTCACCTCAGTCTTTTCTCTCTCTTTAATCACGACGTCATTCTTTTCTTTTCTGTATTCAGCATCTCCACATGATAGGACTTTTCGTCAGCCTTCTGTCTTCCTTTGGACAACCCCCCTGCATCTATCACGTTGGCCAAGATACTCGGACTGGGGATTTAGCGGTTAAGCGTGGTCGCTCAATGGAGCCCCCAAGAAAATTGACCAATTTGCCCGTGATTGAGCTGTAAGTCCTTTATTATGCAAGTGTCGGAGCGCGTTATGCTTTTTGGCGCTAATGAGTGTGCGTTGTCCTGCCTAGGCGCCCGAGTAATGGTCCGGGAATCTCTGCTTTGTCTGTGCGGAAGACTCTGTCATCGACCGCTTTTCGAACATCGCAAATTGTTCGAGTAGAAGTCCCATACAGCAGATCGAAGACCAGAACCAGACTAGTCTGTGTCAGCAGATATGCCGACTCTGGAGCACATTCGCTTTCTGTGTTAGAGGCTTCTTAAAGCTGAGTGCCGGGGCCGCACGCATCAACTGTCAAACGCAGTTATCGATATCGTCCTTGAGAATGAAGACCCGAAGGCATTTGACACAGTTGACCAATTACTTGGCTCTGGCAGGCTGCTCAACTTGTGACCAAAGAATCTGATTCAGTTGTATGATTGTTAAGCATGCTTGAACGACCAGTCATCATTTGACCTCCGATTATACGAATCGAGACCTGCAACCACAACATGCATCTGCATCACGGACGACGATGTTGCTCATGAATGTCTACCTATCACACATGTCCACTGGCGTGTCCGAATCGACTGTGGGGCAAATCTTTAGGAGTAAAACACCGACGCCGGATAAAGTCCGTTGGCTCGACCACCGCGTGGCAGAGGCTACACATGTTGATTTGATTGCGATTGGAGGCTTATTTCGGGTGCTCGGATGGACCTGAGGTGTTGGGAAATTTAGCAGGGACTGGTATACTGCAGGAACAGCGCTGGGTCGAAAAGGCGAGGGGACCTGATTGGCGGCTGGAAGGGGCGCAGAACAAGGCCTAATCTAGTTGAAGCTGGGACCACCTTGATTCCGAGTCGTCTGAAGCTTCCGAGCTAGGGCATAGTCTGCGAGAACTGTTGGATTCGCACGCGAAACTCTTCTCCACTGCCGGCCAGCCTGTTTGTGCCGTCACGGCGGTTCATGCAACAGATCGTGAGTCAGATTGAACATCAGTTCTCTTCTCAAGCAAAGTGTCAAACTGTTCAAGTCATATGGCGTTTGGTCCGACCGGCAGAAGAGGAACGAAAACGGACAGAAATTTCAAGCCGAGGAGCTGTCACCGCAAAGGCATGTTTTACCTCCGACAGCCAAGACCCTAGTGCGGGAATAGCTTCGTTCTCAACCCGATCGGCGGCCAACCTAAAACACTTGCCCCTTGCCCTAACCGCCATGCGACAGTTTCACCCTCACCTTAATTGCTCCGGCGCCTCCGGAAATGGCCCAGTGCGGTAGTGGTTCCGGTCTAGCCTCCTGACCGTTTGTTATCCTACTCCATCACAGCCATCCGCCTTCGATGCCTTGGACAACTTAAATACACCGTCATCACCACCCTTCTGTGGGAACATTTTCTTCTCCATCAGCAGGTCTTTCTTTACTTCCGCCTCTATCACATTCCTTCCTTCGGGCTTCATTGATTGAAGTTCTCACTTTCGTTGCGCTGGGTCGCTCACTCTTTCAGTCAATCACTTCCATTCTCTAAACCAGTTCTCTGTACTTCCAACTCCTTTTTAACAAAACTCGCCAAAATGCGTCAGGCTCAGTCTTTGTCCCTCTTGACAGCTCTTCTGTCCGCCACGCGTGTGGCTGGACACGGTCATGTCACCAACGTTGTCGTCAACGGTGTTTACTACGAGGGCTTCGACATCAACAGCTTCCCCTACGAGTCCGACCCCCCTAAGGTGGCCGCCTGGACCACTCCTAACACTGGCAACGGTTTTATCTCCCCCAGTGACTACGGTACCGATGACATTATCTGCCACCAGAATGCCACCAACGCCCAGGCCCACATTGTCGTTGCGGCTGGTGACAAGATCAACCTCCAGTGGACCGCATGGCCCGATTCCCACCACGGTCCTGTCCTTGACTACCTCGCTCGCTGCGACGGTGAGTGTGAGACGGTTGACAAGACCACTCTTGAGTTTTTCAAGATTGATGGCGTCGGTCTCATCAGTGACACCGAAGTGCCCGGTACCTGGGGAGATGACCAGCTGATTGCCAACAACAACAGCTGGTTGATCGAGATCCCCCCGACCATTGCTCCTGGCAACTACGTTCTTCGCCACGAGATCATCGCTCTCCACAGCGCTGGCACCGAGGATGGTGCTCAGAACTACCCCCAGTGCTTCAACCTCCAGGTTACTGGCTCCGGTACTGACGAGCCCGCCGGTACCCTCGGCACCAAGCTCTACACTGAGGATGAGGCTGGTATCGTTGTGAACATCTACGCCTCTCTGTCTTCCTACGCCGTCCCTGGCCCCACCCAGTACAGCGGTGCCGTCTCTGTCAGCCAATCCACTTCGGCCATTACCTCCACCGGAACTGCTGTTGTCGGTAGCGGCAGCGCCGTTGCCACCTCTGCCGCCGCGGCTACCACCAGCGCTGCTGCTTCTTCTGCCGCCGCGGCTACCACTGCTGCTGCCGTTACCAGCGCCAATGCCAACACCCAAATTGCCCAGCCCAGCAGCAGCTCCTCTTACTCCCAGATTGCTGTGCAGGTGCCCTCCTCCTGGACCACCCTTGTGACCGTCACTCCTCCCGCCGCCGCTGCCACCACCCCTGCTGCCGCCCCTGAGCCTCAGACCCCCTCTGCCAGCTCTGGTGCCACCACTACCAGCAGCAGCAGCGGCGCCGCCCAGTCTCTCTACGGCCAGTGCGGTGGTATCAACTGGACCGGAGCTACCTCTTGCGTTGAGGGCGCTACTTGCCACCAGTACAACCCTTACTACTACCAGTGCATCTCTGCCTAAGCTGGACGCTTACTTTCTCTATAGCTAGATCATCTAGATTATCTCAAATGAGATCTGCTGAACATTTATTTTAGTCTGAGTACTCAGAAATTGGTTCATATTTAACACTATCTTATTTTCACTTTCTCCGTTTTCACTGTGAGTGAAGGTAGTACTTGGTCGATGAAAATGCTTGGCTGTTGGCATGTGCCTTAGAGTATTCCGGCATGTTCATACTCAGACCGTGTTCCCCCTGCCAAGTGCGCTTGAGTTTAGAATTTTGCTGGCAGTGAATGTGTGCAGCTTGGTTGCGCTTAGTCGGCGAGGGGTAGTGTCTGCTGCAAGGTAAAAGGCATTTCTCATATATTGCAACACGGTCATCTCTTTATCTTACAGACTGTAGCTTCCCATCCCTACATCCTATAGAATCTTCAGTTATTCCACTTATTCTCAACCTTCTACTCTCTGATAGATATCATCAGGAAGACAACTCACAGCCGGCTTCATAGTACTTTGGTTACTTTCAGTAAGTATCTATTTATTCAGGACTTTCACAACTTGCCCCAACTGGATCCTATTATCTTGAACAAAGCCTCACGCTCCAGCGCATAAAGAAGAAGTTAAGTTGCGTTTCTGACAGTAAAAGGCTGATATTCATATACATCAAACAGACGTCTTGAAAGCAATTATCTCTATAAGTAGGTAGCTATCCATCCAGATCTTTGAAGAATGGCCTCATCTTTATCCTCAACAACTTGAACAAAACCTCACACTCCGACGCATGAAGACGAAATGCAGACGCATCACTGACACAGATCATCAGCATTATCAGGTAGACATTTGAGCCAACCAATGAGCGTTTCGACAGCAATCATCACTACAAGCAAGTAAGCATCTGTCCAAGAATTTCACAAATTACCTCACCTGCGTCCCCGAAGCCCTGAGTCAAGTCTTATCCTCCAGCGCATTGGAAATAAGGGCGACGCATGTAGAAAAATATCAGACCAGACAGCACAGCTAACAGTACACCTCACTGAAGATACGCATAAAGCACGAACCACGAGCACACCCCCGAGACCCACCTTTTAACCCTGAAATCCGCAAAAGAGCTCCATCCCAAACGGCAGACAGCCTAGAAGATGGACGCGAATACTCAGGCCCTCGATGCCCCAAAGGAGTACATCTCAAGCCTGCCTAGCAAGAATGTACGGGTAATGCTGCTCGCGGCGCTCAACGTCTGGTTTCACTTGCCCGCGGCGATGCTCGCAGGTTTGACTGAAGTTGTGAACCAGCTTCACAATGCCTCTCTAATCCTCGACGACATACAAGACCAATCTCCCCTGCGCCGGGGTCAGGCGGCTACCCACATGGTCTTCGGCGTGGGACAGTCCACCAACACCGCGACGTTTATGATTGTCGAAACATTCCAGAAGGTCGATCTGTTGGTTCGTGGACAGGTTCGAGCTCAGGCCCAGACCCATGCTCACACCCAAGCTTATGACCAGGGCCAGGCTGAGGCTCAGAACGAAATCCTAACTCCTCCCATCACCTCGCCTCCCTCCTCCATTGAAGCTCAATCCCATCAGGCCCAGGAGATAATGCATACAGGCCTTAAGTCTCTGTTCACCGGCCAGTCTTGGGACCTCGATTGGAAGGAGCGGAACTATTGCCCAACTCGCGAGCAGTACCTGGAGATGGTCGCCGGCAAGACCGGAGCGCTGTTCCAGCTGATCTCGAGACTGATGTTTTGCCTCGCCGGCTCGGGATCCGCGATCCTCCCTGCCAACCCACACCCGCAGGAGGAGCAGGAATCGCTGGTGGAGAAATTCGATCGCTTCATGAACGAGCTCGGGTTGTACTTTCAGGTCCGCGACGACTACCGTAATCTGAAGGATACCTCCTACACCGCCCAGAAAGGCTTCTGTGAGGACCTTGACGAAGGCAAGTTCAGCTATCCTGTGGTCATGTGCTGTGAGATAAACTACGTGTTCAAGAGACCCTTTTTGGAGCTTTTTGGTCGGCTGAAGTACAGGAAGGGTGGTATGGAGTTCGAGGATAAGATGAAGGTTTTGGCCATGTTGGATAAGTCCGGCGCCATGAAAGCCACGGAAGTCGCCATCAAAGCGTGGGAAGAAAAGTTGATGGAGATGGTCACAGATCTTGAAAAAGCGTTTGGCTCTACTAACTCTTCCTTGAGGGAGATCCTGATGAAGTTGGCCGCTTAGACGTTGACTTGGATCCGTACCTCTGGTTAGATCTTCTGCTTTGGGAATTCGGCGGATGGTTTATGGAAGGTGGAGCATGGTGTTGAGGGAGTGGGTGGGGGCTCGATGGGGGCTCGGTGTTTGTATTCTGGTGGATTACATTTTTTCCTTTTATTTCCCTTTCATGCGATGAATTTTCTTGTTCTTTATGACAATGATCTAGTTATCCTATCAGGATGCAAACTGAGAAGATCTGGTTTCGCCCGAAGATTCCTCCGATAGTGATATTGGTAGAAGTTCAGTTTGTCATGAGTAAGTTGTATAACAATCCGACTCAAAGAATGGATAATCTCGTCAGAAGGCAACCTAAAGACAGATGCCTATATCTTAATGATATGATCGCTTCGTTGCACAACTTCGGCCTTTATCCAGGATGATCCCGTTACTTTCCGCCTGCTGTGTAATTTTACATTGACTAGTAGTACTAGTAGTATCCATGCACAATACAATGTACAAACGAAGCTTATCTTTAGGTACTGTTGTTCTATGAAAACCCTCAGTGATACTTACCAAATTTCCGTACCGACAACAATCGAGCACTGGACTCAATAGAGAGGCAGTAAACTCCGCGAGTGGATGATGCTGAGCGGTGAGCGGCCACTGGAGAAGGACGTCAGGATGAACCCCCCATCCGGTATCCGGAACCAAACCCCACAAACCTAGGAAGGCACCACCGCCCTCCCTATTAAACACCTCCATCCCCTCCCCCACAGCTTATTGTCTCTTCATTCTCCTCTTTACTTGCCCATGACCATCCGAAGACCACTCTCTACAAGCCTTTCCTAAGCACAAGCAAAATGCTCAAGTGGCCTCGCATCCAATTCTACGAACTGGGTGACCAATCCTGGCTCCCAGGCTGGCTGCACCAACACGAGCAGTTCACGCTCACGCAGCTCTGGCACCTGTCCATCCCCGGATGGAGCCACGGCAGCCTAGCCACCCAGGCCTGCACCGTCATCCGTGAGTATCTGCCGGATGTGTCGTCGTTCTTGTTCGTCGACCTCTGCGCCGGCGCCGGCGGGCCCACCCCGTTGCTCGAACGGGAACTCAATCGAACCCTCGAGCAGACCAACGGCAGCAACAGCAGCGCTCGGCCGGTCCGATTCCTGCTCACCGACCTTTTCCCTCATCTTGAGGCCTGGAAGGGCATCACCAAGAAGCAGCAGAACATCTCCTACATTCCTTCCGCCGTGGACGCGCGGGATGCCCCGCGTTACACCCCCAAGGATCGCAAGGAGTGTCGCATCTTCAACATCTGTTTCCACCACTTCAAGGATGAGGATGCCCAAAAGATCTTGCAGAATGCGGTCGAGGAGGCGGATGCGTTTGTGTATGCCAATTCAGCCCGTTTCTTTATCTTTTGTTTGTACTGGGGATCATGTACTGACAGCAAGTAGGATCTTCGAAATCACCGCCCGGGACCTCTGGACGTGCCTGTGCTCCCCGCTGATTTTCTTCTTCACGTACCTCGTGACGCTGCGCTCGTACTGGTGGTCGCCCGTGCATCTGTTCTTTACGTATGTGGTGCCGGTGACAGCGCTGGCGCTTTGGGTTGATGGGCTCATCTCGTGTCTGCGGACGCGGACGCCCGAGGAGATCTCGGCGCTGTTGCAGCGGCAGGAGGTGGTGGATGTGACCGGGTGGAAGTTTGCGAGTGGAAGCCGGACAGTGCAGTGGCCTTTTATCACCTTGCATTATTACGTGGGCGTTAAGGCTAATTAGCTGTGGGTTGAATGGGTTAAAAGGGAATGAGAAGCCATGATGGTATATTGGGTTGACTTCGAACGGCCAGTTCTTTCTTCTCTTTCTTCTTTCTTGGTTTTTTTTTTTTTTTTTTTTTTTTTTTTTTTGTTATTCTATTTCTAATATTATTTTGTCTGTTGCTCTGTTTGCCAGTACTGCACCCTGGGCTGGCTTAGTGATCTCGTAGTGAATGTGGCTAGCTTGTAGTTCGCAAGAGTCTTTCTATGCAGCAAGCCCAAAACAAGGGTGCTCAAGAAAACACCAGTAAGGAAGACACAGGGAAAAGAACAAATAAACAGAAAATAAATCTGAGTTACATCCAGTCTGTTGAGTTGTAATTCAGCACCTGCTCCCTGAGGTGTACGTTACACTAAGGTACTGTACAGTAAATAAACAGTTGGGCACCCCCCTGCACAGGGCGGAAAAGCGGAAACCAGGCTGGTGGTCCAAGTGTCCCTCCCGCTCCGGTCCGCCCATCCCATCCCCCCATCATGCCATTGTCATCCGTCCATCCCTCCCATCTCACCATCCATCATACCAAAACCACCAATCCACCAATCCGATTCCCACATAAACCATGAAGATAATAATCATAGGCGCCGGCCTCGGCGGCCTTACCACCGCCATTGCCTGCACGAAGCAAAATCTCGACGTCCTCGTCCTTGAGAAGTGCCCCCACCTGCAGACCGCCGGCGCCGGCATCCAGATCCCGCCCAACGGCACGAGCGTCATGCGCGACCTGGGTCTGCTTCCCAAGCTTCTCCACGAAGGAGGAGCGAAAGTCCTTCAGCACGTGGATTTCCGGCGCTACGCGTCGGGCGACCTCCTCCGGTCCATGCCCTTCGGGGAGGGGATCGTGCGGGAGTTCGGGGCGCCGTGGTTGATCATCCACCGAGCGGATTACCATCGCGTGCTGTATGAGGAGGCCGTCCGGCTCGGGGTGGAAGTCAGGCTGGGGGTGGCGGTGGAGGGGGTGGATTTTGAGGGTCCCGCTGTGCTGTTGGCGGGTGGGGAGCGGGTGCGCGGGGATGTTGTTCTGGGGGCCGATGGTGTGTTGTTCTTCCTTCCTTTCTGGGTCTTACTCCGGGGAGAGGCGTGGGGTGTGCTGACGGTGGTGGCGCTAGGGCTCTGGTCGCAGGTTCGGGGGTGGGTGGTTGGTGGGGATAGAGCGATGCCTCAGGAGACCGGCGATCTGGCGTATAGGGCGGTGATTCCGAGGTCGGAGCTTGAGGCTCTCCGGGATGACAGGGTGGAGGAGCTGTGTCGGCGTGTGGCGGTCACGAGCTACCTCGGGCCCGGGAAGCATACTATCTTCTACCCGGTAAGGGGCGGGAGGGAATTCAATCTGGTCTTGCTGCGGCCGGATGATTTGCCGTCGGGAAAGAGGAGGGAGGAGGCTGGGGTGCAGGAGATGCGTAAGAGTTATGCTGGGTGGGATCCTACGTATGTTTTTTTCTTGTTGTCTCTTCTGCGCAGGGTGGTTTAAGGATTGGGGTTACATTTGAAGCATCCGCTGACAAGCTGCTAGATTGGAAAAGCTACTCTCGCGCGTCACCTCGGTCTACAAGTGGAAGCTGACCCAGCTGCCGGAGCTGCCTACATGGACGAAGGTTTGAGTCTCTTGATGGCTATTGCGCGGGTTGCTGATTTAAGTACAGGGTCGAGTGGCTCTCCTCGGCGACGCTTGTCATCCCACCCTGCCTTATCAAGCCCAAGGCGCGGCGATGGCTGTTGAAGATGGAGCCGTGATTGGTAGACTTCTCGGGCTCTTGCAGAGCCATCTATCGCAATCTAGATCCGAGGGGAAAGAGATGTCCACCGCAGACAGCATTGCGTCGATCCTGAAGCTTTACGAACAACTCCGAAAAGGACGTACAACACGCAATGTGCGGGCTGCGCGCATCAACCGGTTCCTACTCCATTTCGCAGACGGGATTGTCCAAAGGCTCCGCGACTTTTTTCTGGGGTATATGGGCGTCACCCGCGAGAGCGACTGGAGTTGGCTCTTCTCTTTCTCAATGAGACAGACGCTGGGTCTGGATGTGATTCGGGACTGTGAAGCTGCGTTTGAGGATTGGGTGCGCAAGGATTGACTGGCGTAGATTATTGTGTTATTACGGTACAGTGCCATTTCATGTTAGAAATAAGTTTATACAAGGCTGACTACAAAGTATCCAGACTTCTTACCTACGGTAGCCTCCGGCGTCAGGCATGCCTGTATTAGTGCAGCTATAATTAGCGATAGAGTCTCAGATCTACCAAGCAATCATCGAAGCACGGCCTCAGAGTTCTTATCCTTGACGTGGATGACGAACCCATACCAAGAGTTATATTCAGGTCGAGACCTCAGTTTCTGGAAGGTTCATACCAACAAGAATAGCATACTCTTGCACTCCGGAAAAAAGTTCTCGCTCCCCACACGACGAGCAGCAGATGACAATAAAAGCACTAGCCCCAGCATATGACCATTCCTCAAACCATTATGCTGAACAAAGCCAATGTGCTTATATCCGTCCGTTTATGGTGAACCGGTTTTATCAATGGTTTTCCAAACCTACCATTCATAAGTGCCATTTGCAAATGTTCAGCCACTCGGAGCTGTGTCAAAGTCTTTTCTGCTTGGAGACACTACTCCCAGGCTTACACATTTTTTGAGTCATGTTATATTAAATTTTAAGGATTCTTCAACAATCGGGACGATGGCGCATCTGGGAGCGCGTCAGACTGAAGCACAAACTTCGGCCATAAATCTGAAGGTGGCCGGTTCAAGCCCGGCTCGTCCCATTCTTCTTTTTTCTTTTTTTTCTTTTTTTTCTGTTACGATATGTGGGTCTTCGAGAGTGGGTCCGCCGTGGTTCAGGTTGTATGCTGGGGTCGATCATCCCACTGCAACATCTCGCTAGTACCAGTTTCAACCCCAGAAACTTGACTGACAATGTGGAGAGAGATAAATCGATCTTGATACACGCCCATGGGATCGTGGACGAGTGGGCTTTTGATTACCTGGCCAAGGAACCTGCCAAGAAACTGGTGGGGTAGAGGTTTTGCATATTGACATAGACAAATACTTTGCCGAACTGTACAATAGGCTCAACCAATTGGCGCATTTATGAATGCACAGATTTTCTGCCATATGGGCCGGCCAGCCTGTTGCAGATGACAGGATCCACAGTCCCATGGCGCAGAAGATCGAATAGGTCAGTGTCTTGCCCTTCTTTTGCCTACACGGTGTAATTGTCGGCGTTCCCAAGTAATCTATCCACGTGATCCAACATGGTTACCAGGTTGCGTCGCATGTTGATTGATATCCCAGGTAGTTGTAATCATCAATAACCACCAAAGATCAAGAAGTTGCGTCATCTCCCCCCCGCTGAGACACTCAAATCGCTGACAGTAACGCTCTCATTGAATGGCTCGGTTCGTCCATTACCAATAACTCAAGTAAGGTAACTTACAAAGGGATTTCCGGAGTTGGCGGATCTTCCGCCAACAATGGACGTTTCTTCACTAATGACCTTAGACGCTGCAGCGCAAGCTATCGGCGCCAGGAGCACCCGAATCATCACCGAGCCTAAAATGTCGCGCAACATTCCCCGAAATGTGCAGTTTGTGGTTCTCAATACTCAGGAAGCAAATTCAATATGCGACAGTTAAACTTGCGAAAATATTTACTTTGAATGAGGACGAAAGTTTATTGAAAATTATCGCTCAAAAGGACTTAAGGTCAACGGTGAAGGCAGAAGGAAAAATAACAAACCATCAAGGACCAGCCAGTAGCTCTCCGGTGTCTTCACCCAATATGTCCGGCTGTAGCAGCGGCATCAAATTCTGCTGTAGCTGTTACTGCTGTTGCTGCTTTAGATGGTAGAGCTGGTGGGTGTGATACTGTCGCTCTAGGTCCTGCTGCTCTAAGCCCTGCTGATACTGCTGGTAGAGCTGGTCGGTATGATGCTGCTGCTCTGAACCCTGCTGTTGCTGCTGTTGCTGCTGTTGCTGCTGCTCCTTCAGCAGATACTGCTGGTAAACCTCGCGGAGGTGGCGCTCCTCCGCCCAAGCCTGCTGCTGCCTCAGCTGCTTCTTGAGCTTGTACTCCTGGTAGAGCTGGCTGAGGTGGCGCTCCTGCTCCAAAGCCAGCTGCTGGATACCCTGCTGCTGCCCATCCAGCTCCTGCCCACCCTCCAGCCCACCCAGCTGCAAACCCAGCGCACTCCACCCCTCCATCTCCTCCACCTCCCGCAACAGCATCAACATCTGCATCTCCTGCCACGCCTCGCGCAGCTGCGCCCCCTCCGCACTCATCTCACTCCGCAGCCACCACCCCGTCCCGCAAGCCGGACACCCGAACGCCAGCGCGCGGCCCGCCGCCGCCTCCCGCTCAAACATCCCGTCCAGGCAGCTATCGTGCCAGGCGCTGTGCCCGCACGCCGCCATCGGACACCGCCAGAACCGCGTGTCCGCGCACAGGTGCTCGTGCTCCCCGCACAGCCCGCAGACCACGTCCGCGGGCGTGTCGCTGATGTAGCCCCAGCTGATGCGGGCTTCGTTTCGTTGGCGGGAGCGATGTGACAGGGTCGCGAGGTGGGTTAGATTTGGGTGGATGGGAGTGTCCATCCCTTTTGCTGGGGTTCTCGCTTTGGAGAGGAACGCTGGAGGTTAGAGTGGTTAGTTAGTTGGGTTCGTTTGGTTTGGGGGTTTTTGTGAGTGTTGGGAGCGTACGGTACGGTACTGTTGTCTGGGATGGGAGATTGTGGTGGTGGTTTTATATGCTGCGATATCAAGGCTGGGAGAGGAAGGTGCCGTCGTGGACTGGTGGTTGTCGAAAGGTGGGAGGTTGTGTTTCGGCGTCGTGGTGTGGGTTGGGTGGAGGTTTTCGCTGTGGTTCGTTGTTTGTGGGTTGTCGGATGGTGTGTTCTTTCTGTTCTGGGTGGAATATGGCTGGGAGGTTCTTCTTTGGTCTTTGATGATTCAGAGCTGTGGTCCTTGTTTGGGGATTTGTTTCAGGATTGTGTTATTGCGCTTGTCTGGTGAATTCGTGGCAGTGAAGTGAGGCTTGGTGGACTTCATCTCACGGGCGTGTTGGAATATCTTGATATTGATAAGTCCTGGGGAGGGGTCATGTAGAACAATTCAATTTTGTTGTCGGTGCCTGGCTAATACTAATTGAGCTATCTACATGTAACTTTATTTCGTAGATCACTACTGCTTAAATATACTGAAAGTCCCCAGGGATCTTCTATACACAAAGGCGAAATGTTTTCAAGCAGAAGTTATTCACTATGTGAAAGGTATCTCAAAGGAATGGTTATCCAGCTATCGAGTATCTCTCTAGCTGGTCTTGTGGCACATTTATAAGCATATCTGGTAATCTATCTAGTAGCCTATCTAGTAGTCTATCTAGTAGCCGGCTTACCAAGTTACCCGTATCTCTTCCTTATGACAGACCCTTACTCTAGGGCTCTCACTAGCAGTATAATCATCCTGCTTGTTACGGCAACTCCTTGCTTATAATTGTGTTGGTCACATACAAATTTTTAATAGCAGCATATAGTAGCCATAAAAACAAATATAGCAAGCTATCACTCGTACGTTGTATCTTGCAACCAGACTAACCAAACGAGAAGAAGTCTCTCGATCACGGGAAGCTTCGGTATGTCATACTTCAATCACACATCATCTTCATCTCCAAAGCAATTCCCCACCCCCCACCACCCGGACTATTGACCTCCATCAACTCCCCGGACTCCAGCGCCAACGCCGCCTTCCCCCCCAACGACAGCTTCTCATGCCCCGTCCTCCCCTCATTCCACCTATACACAAAGTTCGTCCCCACAGAACCCTCCCCGCCCCCTTCCATCCCATACGGCGCAAACACCCGACGATCACTGAGAATACTAAACCGCAAGGGCACCCGTGCCTCAATCAGTCTCGTAGCGCCGTCCCCACCGCGGAACTTTCCCCTTCCACCCGTGCCGCGGTTCACCGCATGTCTCCGCACGATCACCGGGGTGCGCTTCTCCACGACCTCGGCGTCCGTGATCTTGGTATTCGTCGAGTGGCACTGAATGGCGCTCTCGCCGTGCCAGGCGGGGCCGGCGCCGCACCCGCCGCCCACAGTCTCCCCGTAGTTCCAGCCGGGGGTGATCGTCCCGGTGACGGGATCCTTGCCGCCGAGTCCCCAGCCGAAACTGTTGGCGCAGCCGGAGAAGGCGGCGCACCGGCCGAAGGCACGGAGGATGGTGTCGATGACGCGCTGGCTGGCGAGGGTGCTGCCGCAGATGGCGACGGAGGCGCTGGGGCGTAGGATCGACCCCCGCGGGATGCGGATGTCGATGGGCGCCAGGCAGCCGTCGTTCAAGGGGATGTCCTCGTCGATGAGGCAGCGCGTCGTGTAGATGACGGCCGAGTGTGTGATGGAGATCGGGCAGTTGTAGTTGCCCCAGCTCTGCGGGCCGGTGCCCGTGAAGTCGTAGATGGCTCCGCCCGTGGTTGGGTCGATCGTGATGGTCACCTGGATGCGGGTGCCGTCGTCGAAGTGGTCGACTGCCGTCAGCGGGGCGGGGTGCTGGGCGCTCAGGGTGCGGAAGAAGTGGCGCACCGCGGCTTCGGCGTTGGATTGGATCCCGTGCATGTGGCGGTGGACGGTGGGGAGGGAGAATTGGTCGCAGAGGTTCTGGAGGAGGAGGATGCCGCGTTGGTTGGACGCGATCTGGGCTTTAAGGTCGGAGATGTTGTCGTTGATCCGTCGGCTGGGGCTGCAGCCTGGGTGGTCGCCGGCGGCTTCGAACGCTGCTCGGACTGCGTCTTCGAGGAAGACGCCATTGTCCACGATTTTGAGGGATTGCACGTTTAGCCCTTCTTCCCAGAGCTCCTTGGAGTCGGGCATCATTGCTGTGATTCCCTTGCCTCCGATGTCGGTGTGGTGGCCTCGTGAGGCGACGTAGAAGGCTAGGGTCTCGTTCGTGCCGGTGAAGACTGGACTGATAACAGTGAGATCTGGGAGGTGAGTGCCGCCGCATTCTGGATGGTTGGTAAGAAGAACATCACCCGGTCGAAGCTTGCCTTCCCAGAGACGGTGCTGGTATTGGATCGCGTATTGCATGCTCCCAAGGTGGATGGGGATGTGAGGAGCATTAGCTACAAGCTTGCCATCCGGAGAGAATATGGCACAGGAGAAATCCAGACGTTCTTTGATGCTGGTGGAAATAGAGGTCCGCTGTAGTGTGTTACCCATCTGCTCGGCGATCGCCATAAAGCGATGGGCGAAGATGGAGAGCTGGATCGGATTGGTGATCTGAGATTCTACCCAAGAGCTTTCATCTGGCTTGCGGTCGATTGCCTCGAGAACGATGTGCTCCGGAAGAATGTAGGCCTCCCAGTCTGGTTCCACGAATATGGTCTGTGTTGCGTCAATAATAATTGCTGGGCCTTCTAGGACGGTAAAATGACCAAGGGACTCCAAAGTGTAGTATGGTATATCCTGCCACGAGGTCTCGATGAAGACTCTCTGCAGACTTTGAGATTTGGCTTCTTTCCGCTGGATCTTCGCCTCGTCTAAGGCCCTGAAAGGCGACGCTGAAGTCGCTTGCCATTCCTCGACTCCACCCGTCCCACGTACTTGCAACGCGTCGATAATTACGGGCCGATCCAACGCGAATGCGAATTCGCGGCGATGTGTCTCTTGAAACGCGGTACCATAATCCTCATCCCCCGGCTTGGAAATGGTCAGATTAGTGTCAGTCCCCTGATACCTCAAGCTCAAAGATTCATCAAAGCGCACTGACTCGACCCTCGCCCCTTGAGATATTAGTTCGTCCTTGACTTTATCTTTCAAGGCAGCGAATCGAGCGTTGAGATTGGGAAGGATTGATGGATCAAAAGTGGCGACAGACGGTTCGATGGCCTCCGCCTGCAACTCTGTCTTCGAAATGCCGACCGCAGATAGGATCGACGAGTACTTGTGGATTAGAATGCGCCTGATACCCAGCCGACTAGCAATTGAACAGGCGTGCTGGCCACCCGCGCCCCCAAAACTTACAAGATTATGGTGTTCAGGATGAAAGCCGCGAGCCTCGGTGGCATTTCGAATCGGACGGCTCATGGTTTCGTTCGCAACATTCAAAAAGCCAAGTGCCGTTTCTTCCGGACTCAGAGTCTGCCCCGTTTGCTGGTTGATTTCCCGGGTGATCTCTTCAAACTTGCGAGCCGTTACCTCATAATCAAGCGGCTGGTCTGCGTTCGGTCCGAAGATTGAGGGAAAAGAGGACAGCACCAACCTCCCTAAGAAGAGGTTCGCGTCTGTGACAGTCAAAGGTCCCCCTTTGCGGTAGCACGCAGGACCTGGATGTGCCCCTGCACTCTCGGGACCTACCACAAACAGCCCATTTCGGGCGAAGAGAATCGATCCTCCTCCAGCAGCCACTGTAGCGATATTCAACATCGGGATAGTTATAAGGCGGCCGGCTATCGTCGTCTCACTGAGGTAGTCAAAAGATCCATCATACCGTGAGACATCAGTACTGGTCCCTCCCATGTCGAAACCGATTATGGGAATTGGATTGCTAGGATCGAAGCATGTCTTCGCTATCCCAACAACTCCGCCAGCGGGACCACTGAGGAGGGCTTCGTTTCCTCGAAACTTCTGGGATGACCGCAGTCCTCCATCTGAGCACATAAAATCGACGCGTTGTGGTAGAACAGAAAACCCATCTTCGAAGCCGGCGACATATTGTTGGACAATCGGGAACAGAAACGCTTCGGAGCACACCGAGTTACTTCGGCGGAGATACTTGATGGCAGGGCTGACTTCAGCTGATGTGGTGACATACTTGAAGCCAACATCGCGGGCCAAGGTGGCTGTTGTCTCCTCGTGCCCCGGGTGGAGATATGAGTGCATAAATGCGATTGCTACAGAATCATACCCGTCTGCCTTCAGCTCGCGCAGGGTCTCGCGGACCGCTTCGACATTCAGGGGCTGAATCACCCGAACAATTTCGCCACTGGCCGTTCGGACCAGAGCCGGGTCGGAAATATCCCTTGAAATGTCCAGCGGGAACGGATTGAGATCATAGTCCTCGATTGTGATTCTCTCGTCAATCTCTACGGCCTTGTGGTGAAGAGGCGTAGCCTTCCGGACATTGAGATCGAAAAGCCTCGGTCGAGTCTGGTCTCCGATGGTGCACACATCTCGAAAGCCCTGGGTGGCCACGAAAGCAAACTTCTCACCTTTGCCCTCTAAAAGTGCGTTGGTGGCGATCGTAGTACCGATGCGACAAGATGCAATCCGTGAGCCGTCTAATTTGGCTGATTTGGGAATGCTACATCCCTCAATGGTTTCTAGGGCGCGCCGGATTGCCTCGGTCGGGGCATCGCGATAGTTGGTGGGATCTTCGGAGAGTAGCTTGAATACGAGATCTGGCTGGCCTGCAACTTGAACCAGAACATCGCAGAAGGTGCCACCGCGATCTGATCGCATCGGTTAGCCTTCTGACTTGAGCCATACACAGGACTGAAACATTGTATTCGCACCAATCGCAATGTTGATGTCGGGGGAGTGCATGATGACGTGGTAAATCTCAACGGTGGTGTCGCGCAACTTCTCTTTCGAGAAGGGACTTGGTTGGATTTATCATCAGCAGAGGTACCGCTTTTTCTTCTTCTGAGTTAAGTACTTCATGCGCTTCTCATTGTGCCTTTCATGACTCGAGTCGGGGTAGTTCGGGAGAACTCCGATCAGCAACAAATGACACCATCCGCCTGCTTGATAGCGACAGGCGTTATCTCCCCACTCATCTACCATATCGCTCCCTCCCACGAGACTGAGCTTCTATCTCCACATCGGCAACATGCCGTTAAAAATTACCAAAAAAGGTCGTGCCTACCAAAGTGACCGATTCCGCCTGCTTCGCTCTACCTCAACAGACCCCGCCAACTTCAACAGTCAAAATAGGGGCAACTCTCACCCCGCGTGCAATCGCTGTCGAGGCATGAAGAAGAGATGTGATAGGTCGCGTCCCGACTGTGCTTCATGCCTTCACGCCGGTCGGAAATGCTCGTATCCCGGTGGGCGAAATGAGGTGGAAGCGCTGCAGGCCCGGCTGGATGAGTTGACGCAACATATCAATGAGCTTGAAGCAATTCAAACTCCGCAAGTTGGCCTGGCGCAACGCCTGATCAAGCCTCATGGGCCGATTGCAAGTTCAATTGTGCTGGTTGAGGCCTTCCTGCATCATGTTTACCGGGCGTACCCTTTCCTCGATAAAGAGTGGATTTTGCGAGCGGCAGCGGACGTACCCATTGATGGACCTGAGGACGATGCAATGGTGAGTTCGCGCGGACTTTTCATGCCTCCGTGCACAAGGCAGCATTAACGCAAGAACGCAGGTTTTGTACATGGTAATGGCGATCGGCCATACAAGCCTTGAGCGATCAGGAAAGGCCCCAAGTGCAGGGACTGCCGGCTTTACGATCGCATATGCCGAGATCCTGCAGCGATGTACCATGAGCGAAAGCATTCACTCGATCCAAATCCTAATTCTCTTGGCTCTATACTCGCTTTTCGATCCACAGGGCCCGTCCACTTGGACCATTGTGGGCATCGTCACCCGCCAAGCCGTGAGCCTGGGCCTCACTCGACCGGGGTTGTGGGAGGACGGCTTGACACCACAGGCCGTTCAGCTCCGTCGCCGCCTCTTCTGGAGTATCTTCGTGCTAGACCGGATGATGGCGGTATCAGTCGGCCAGTCCCCGGGCCTCACAGTTGAGGACTCCATGATTCCTTTGCCAACTATCACGGTTGAAGAATTCGCCACGCCAGAGAGGGCGGAGGTGGCTGCCGTGCTGCAGGTCAGTCGACATGTTATCGAGCTGCGCCAACTAGAGGCACGAATTCTCTCCACAGTACATCTGGCGGGCGGACGCTCACCCGAGGAGAAAGCTCCCTTCGATTGCAGCATGATCACAGCCAAACTACGGTTGGAAATCGAAAACTGGTATAGCCAAGGTTGCCTGATTTCCCAACCGGAGCTTGATAATGTGCGCGTACATGATACCATGGGTTGGTTAAATGCGCGATACTATCATCTGCTTTTGCTGCTGTATTATCCATGTCGATATAATGCTCGTTCGGACGCCAGTGGGGCCTTCCATGTCAGATCCCTGCTGAAGCTGGTAAGGAAGTTTCTCCAGTACAATCGAGTTCTTCTTGGTAGCCGACAATTGCCGTTGAACCGGATCACGCTAAATCGGCTGGTACCAGCCTGTTTGGTTTTGCTGCATTGCTTTGTGTCCGACGCAGACCTGGCCGATCTTATCCGAATCGAGGCCCGTGTCTGTATAGATATTCTAGGAAGCTTCCCACCACAGTGGCGACAGGCGCATCATTTGGTGGGTTTGATGCAAAAGCTTGAAGAAAGCATTACAGGGCATGCTCTTGGTATCAATGATGATAGCGTGCAGTCATTACGGCTGGAGATGTTATCCTTGCTGGGTGACACCCTAGGCCGGGCCAATTGTTACCAGGGTATCGTTGGCTGGGAAGAGCCAACGCGCGTCAGCTTCGCTCGGGTGGAGGGGCAGTCCCCAAAATTTGCGCCATTCTTATCTCGTTTGAACGAGCCAGACGCTGTCTGTTCTTTTTTCTAACTCTTCGTGGCTAGAACACTGTCGGCCCCGCTCCGAAGACGGACGCTACTGCAGTTCCTGATCAGGCAATTTATGTCGGATTGCACCATCTACAGGATGTATGTTATCAGTAGATGTTGCTCCATGCGATATGTATAAAGTCACGTCCAATATACGGTGGGATGCAGAGATGCAGTGCGTCGCAACTTCATGATGTCGTCGATAGACACCGATCCGGGGAAACGGCCTCCCACGGCTGTCACAGAACTTCCGCCGCCGCGGCGACGATGGGCGCTCCTCCACTGGCACGAGCCCAATTCCTCCAAAGAAGAGAAATGGCTTATCTTCAAATTGGACTGGTTCTTGTTGAGCTATAGCTGCCTGTGTTTCTTCATCAAACAGCTTGACGGCAACAATGTGACGAATGCCTATGCGTCCGGAATGGCTAGCGATCTGCACTTCGGCCCGGGAAATGAACTCAGTTGGATGAACACCTATTTCAACGCCGGCGTCATCATCGGCGGACCGTTCTCAAACCTGATTCTCACCGGTGTGCGCCCGCGCTTCTGGCTCCCGTTTTGTCTCTTCGCGTGGTCCCTTTTCGTGCTATTTCTGTTCAAATGCAACACGGCCCACGAATTCTACGCGCTCCGCTTCTGTATCGGCCTGTTCGAGTCCGCAGCGTGGCCCGGCATTCAATATGTGCTAGGATGCTGGTACACGAAGTCGGAGATGGCACGCCGGAGTGGCCTATTTGTCATGTCCGGAGTGCTGGGTCAGATGTTCTCCGGGTATCTGCAAGCGGGTCTGTATCGTGGAATGGATGGAAAGGGAGGGATGCCTGCGTGGCGATGGCTCTTCATTTTCGACTTCGTTCTGGCGGTACCGGTCGCCGCCTACGGGCTGGTCTTCTACCCGGATACCCCCGAGACAACGCAGGCATTTTACCTGAGCGACTGGGAGCGCAAGCGCGCGATTGAGCGAATTGCAGACGACGGGAGGACCCCACTCAGCCAGCGTCGACTACTGGACTGGAGCGTGATCCGACGAGTGCTGGGAAGCTGGCAGCTTTACGTCTTCTCGCTGGCGTATTGTCTTTGGACGTTGACATGCGGATCGTATGTGATGCAGTATTTTACCCTGTGGCTGAAGTCCACGGGCCATTACTCAGTGCCGCAGATAAACTCCCTTCCAACTTGCATGGGCGCGATCAACTTCGTCTTCATGGTGGCGACCGGGTATCTTGTGGATTTCTTTGGTGAAAGAGGGCGCGGGCCGGTGTGCTTTGCAGTAGGATGTTTGTTGACCTTCTGCTTTGCGGTACTGACAGCGTGGGATGTATCGGAGCAATTCAAGATGGCGGTGTTTATTCTGAGCGGCTGTTATGGGTGCTATACCCCTCTGTTAGCAGGCTGGGTGAATTCTGTCTGCGGCGGAGATCAGCAACTGCGCGCTTTCGTTTTGGCGTTTATGGTCTCGTTGGGCCAGGCTGTGGTCATACCTTTCCAGCAGTTTCAATTCCCCAGCAGTCAGGCGCCTGAGTTCAAGGAGACGCATGGGTGGGCCAGTGGGCTGGCGTTTGTGGTTGCTCTGACGCTGTGGACGGGAGTTGGCATAGATACAGTGCAGCGGGTGGTGCAGCGGAGGAAGAAGACCGGAAGCATCACGTAATCTCTTAGTGCTATCAGTGAGACCACCATTATAAGAACTCGAGACTTGCCCACCTTCTCGTATGATTGTGCTCTTAGACATCCCTTTCATGACAAGATGGTAGAATACATTACTGTGAATGATGCCGACCTTGCCTACCGCCTGGTCGGGCCCAATGATGCTCCCTTGGTCGTCACTCTACACGGTGGTCGTGGATTCGGTCAGTGGCACTGCGTGATCACCACAAATACGTCTAGCTGATACGCAAACTAGGAGACCACACCTCCGACTTTAGAGCATACTCCCCTCTTTCTCAGGATGACTTCCGCATTCTTTCGTTCGACTATCGTGGACATGGCCAGAGTTCGCGCACCAAGCCGTATACTTTCCAACAACTAGTGAACGACATAGAAGCCCTTCGACGTCACTTTGCAGGACCAGACACGCCGTGCATCATCTGCGGCGGCAGCTTCGGTGGTTTCCTGGCGCTGCAGTACTCCATTGAGTACGCCGATAAAGTGTCTCATTTGATCTTGAGAGGCACTGCTGCCTCGCACCATCGTAAGTGATTCCAACCACGCGTTTCCCTTCACCAGCCCTCCCACCTCAATGCTGCAGAGAAGCGCAGAGGCTGATAATCTCGCGATTCCTGTCCGAGCTACTCCAAAGACGAGGAACAGGCCATTCAAACCCTTGAAGCCCGTCTCCATCGAGCCCCCGGGATGAGCATCAACATGCTCCGTGACAAGATCTTCGGTCACTTCAACAGTGACATCGAGTTCCAGCTCGTGATGCACGCTGCCGCACCGCTCTATCGAGAGGAGTTTGATCCTGATCTTGCTCTGCAGCAGAATCTCGCTACGGTGTTCAATGCCGAGTCGCATAGTACGCTTCAATGCTCCATCACTCTGCTGCGCGGTAAATGCCGGTGGCTGACACGTCCCTTAGATGATCTTTACGCCGCACCAGAGAAGTTCTTTGACTATCGAGATCGGCTCCATCGGATCAGTGCGAAGACTCTAGCCATCGTTGGAGAAAAAGACTGGATTTGTCCGCCGGGCCAATCCGAGATTATTGTGGCCGGGATCCCGGGAGCTAAGTTGGCGATTGTGGCTGGCGCAAATCATAGTGTGCATTTGGAGAAAAATGAAATTGTTTTGAAGATGATTCGGGCGCATTTGGCTCGGGATTCAGACTCTCAGCAGGATGGTACCGCCCAGCTTCATTGGCCAGTTTCGAATCTCCATCTGGATTTCAAGAGATACCACCATGATTGATCTTTGTCAATCTTATCTATATAGGTGAGGTGAGGCAAGGGCCTGTTTTGATGACACTATGCCATGACTCACGAAATCTGTCTTCAATCTCAGGCTCTCTCAGGCTCATCTTTACCTAATCACATCTTCACTAGGGCAAGACTCACAATATCAACCAGATATATTATACGGTCGAACATACCGTTGTTTGAACGTCGGAGATAGGGATATTTAGGGGCACTTATAAGTGGTGCGCGGAGACCAAAGATGCTAGTTTTAGTCAAGCCTTCATCTTTCGAATGACTCCGTACAATAAGACTAGATCTTCCAGAGAATGACAAATGATGCACGATATGTGCTAGATGGAATTGACAACAAGTATGTAGGCAAGAGACCGAAAAGCAGAATCACCCCATAACAACAACAACAAGAAATGATTCTCCCATCGAATACAAACAGAAATGCCGTTTCGTGACTACAACCCCCCATCATCTTCGAATTTCGGCAAGAGCTCCTCCTTAGGATGCAACAGCTGCTCGATATCCGTTACATCCCTGCCATCAACCCCCTCCAACCCCTTCTCAATTTTTTCCCGCACCCAGCCAGGGAAAATCCCCAGCACCTCAGAAATCTCCTCGGGGCTCAGCACATGATAACTGACCACGCTGCGATCGTGACTGAAGTTCCGCCACACTCCGTCCATACCCAGATGAGAGAAGCCCAGTGGATCTTTGGGTAAAGCGCGGAGAGTGGTTAATGAGACGGAGTTATTTGCGCAGGCGGGTGCTTCGGTAGTGTTTGGTTGTGTTTCGGGTTGTAGGTTTTTAGAAGTATCAGTGTTGTTGAAGAGGGAGTTAAGGATTGAGAGTCTGCATACCATGTCCTTGGCTGCTTCTTCGCATGGTTCCTGCATTGGGAGTTTACCGGGGTTTTTGTTGATGGATTATAACGGACGTCGGAGCATGGGACAAGAATTGTCTTTTTATCTGGGTCAAAAGATGAGGCAATCCTACGCTTTATTTGTGCTCAGAACAGTGAGAATGTATACAGCTGATGTGTTTCTCCCAGGAGGGAAGAAGGTGTTTTTTACAGTGCACGAAGCCACGCTAATCTTAAGGGCCATGTGAAACCTAAGACAGGAATGGTAAAAGCAGAGATACCTGTTTAGTATGGTTGTAAGTCAGGTCACTGCAGCTGCCTATGGGTCCCAAATTTGTTCAAGAAGCATGCAATCCGGCAGGGTCCTTTGGTTGAGGGTCGGGTAGACCCGAATAACATGACTCCGATTGGGTATAGTAAACTACTACAGTACCTGGTAGGCTTAGCGAATGGCTGGCTTATTTACTTTCGTTGTCCTATTGGCTTTAGTCTAGCAGGGATGAGACTTGTTTTGACAAAGAAGAGTATATAAGTCACTAGCTTATGTCGCAAGCACGACGAAAGCAGGATTGTCGGACACCACTTTTCATCCGGTGTTCCGCGATGAGTGTTTAAGTAAGAATCGAATATCTCATTACCAAGCATCAACGGGCCGACAACAACGTCCAATTGCGATCTTGAAAAGCTATCAGGACGACTTGTCCTCGAAAGCAGAGTATAAAAAGTCGATGATCGCATACACCCTGCGAGATCACTTGAGTTTACGTCAACTAACCGGGTGCATCCATCTGCCAAGGCCTTATATTAATCTAGCCAAAAACAGGATCTGAGATGCACTGCGGTGGGTAAGGAGGTACCACGCTTTCTCAATGTTAACCAAATTATCTATGTCTGTCAATCACCTCACTGCTAGAATGTGCCGTTGTACCATCTCATGATCTGCAGTTCCAAAACACCTGGACACGTTGACGTCAAACCGATTTCCACCCAGGCTGTCTCACCATGGCCGCCACCTCGAACGGATCGACCAAAGGATCATTCTTGCTCACAAAGCCGAACTTCTGATAGACCGGCTGGCCGTCGGTGCTCGCGTCGATATAAATGTGCGCATTCTCTTCGTCGCCCACCTCGCACCCCCATTCCAGCAACAAGCGTGCCGCGCCCCGTTTCCGGTAGTCGCTATGCGTCGCGAGCATATCAAGATCTGGTGGTCGCGTGAGCACCGTCAGTCCCCTCCGCTCAATAATCCTCAACGAGATACTCCGATTCTCCCGGGGTCAAACGTACAGAAGTTCTTGGGAGCACCTGCGACAGCCGTCGCCCGGTTGGTCTCCAAGTGGCCCAGAAATTTATCCATCAAGGCCGGGTCCATCTCGGAATGCCACGCGGGCCACCGTGGTCCGCGCTCTTCGGCGGTCTCCAGCGACCACTTGGCGTACGCGACGATGCGGCCATTCTGCGCTGTGTCCACGACCTTGAGATACTTCGCGTTGGGTTTGTGGAGCATGTCATGGCGGTTGGCTTCGTTCCACCACTGGCGCACCCCGGGGGTGTCCGGCCAGAGGAATAACATGCCGGGTGAGAAGGCATTGTACCACAGATCGGTGATCTCATTCAGATCGTCGATTGTGGCGAACTCGAGTCGCAGAGGCGAGCCATCCTTCTGGGGGACACGAATGGTCCCAGCTGCTGTCATGGCGGTTGAAGAACTGTGAAGAAAAGTGGAGGGAACAGAACAGCTGGCTGGAGGGTGAGCAGATAGATAAGTGACTGGATTAAATGAGGGGTTGAGTCACCGGTCATCGTAATTTGCAATCGAGACTGACTGACTGACTGAGACTAATTTAATTTTAGTCTCCCCGCCCCCGCCCGCGCGGGCAAGCATGGGAGGCGTTGGATCCATCATGGATGCGTCTGCAAGCCTTTAGCGGAGTCGCCCCGCTCTTATACTTCATTCATCACTTGTACCAACGAGAGGATTTGGTTTCCGACCGGACAAATTTGCCTGCTACGTACCATGGTGTAGTAGTTGGAATTTGGAAGTTTGTTATTTGATGCGTGGCGTTGGCTGTCCTTGGAAATGGCCATTCGCGATCCGTGTAACTTGAGAGAGAACGTGGGTCGGCCCGCAAATATTGAACGCGACTCTTACAATACTCAAGAATATCCAGGCCACAAGTCACCAATCGACAACTTACGATGTCAGTCAGTGCTTGAGGCTCCGGACCCTGGTCCATCGTGGCTAATCTGAATTCATCTCGTCTGTTGAATAGTCGATGGAGAAGCCAGCCTCAGCGCGACTGATCGGTTGTCAAATCAGATCCAGCTTTTTCCGAGTGAAGGAATATTTCAATGCTCCTTTGCCACGGTCGCTTTTTACAGAACTCTTCCTCTCCGCTGAACAGCAGGTTCCCAATTGATCATTAATCAGTGCCCATCTACACGAGGCATACGGCGGATGATGCTGTGTGACAAGACAAAACCCACATTTGCGGCGAACATAGCCTTCATAAATGCGCCCTTGCTTCTTTCAGGGGGCTATACTGGTCATTCCGGCATCACAGAACCTCTGTCAGACGCTTTCTTCTCTACTTTGCTAGGATGAGACTCCTGCCTGCTTTTTTTTTGTGTGTACATGTCGCTCACGCGGCCCGTCATCATTGTCTTGCAGTCACGAGACATTCAACTTGATCCCGTCCTTGGGCCCATTCTGTCTTGAACCACGATGACTCGGCAGGACGCTCCCTCGTCCCTTTCCCTATCAATCAATTCGACCTTCAGTGAAATGCTGTGGTAAATCAAAGTGTTTGGTCCAGGCAGCTGCGTACACATGACTTCTGGATTCGAACACTGGAGGCACCATAGTCTTTCCCAACTTGCCCAACAACAACCTACAATCGATGCGTTCGCTTAAAAATGGAATATCGTCATTGAGAAGTCCAGAAACCGAGCACGTTGCGACAATAAGTGCATTTGACGGATGGCCATCGCGTGGCGCCGGGTGCTTCTGGCTCTAATCCCACATCTGCACAACCACCGCATGCTTTTCAATGCCTCGGAGTGATTCCTTGCACTAACTTGGATCTGCTTAGTGCGATCAAAGAGTTGTGTTGAATGCCCAGGCCCAGACCTATCAGAGCTGTGTTAGTCGGTAGATGGCTGGATTTGATTTGTGCGGAATGGACGAAAATCGTTGATCAGTTCCAGATCTTCCGAGCGCTTGGCAGATTCTCGCCTGATCATGTTAACTTATTTTCTGAGTGTCTGACATGACAATCCGTCGAACTTCTCGTGCGTGCCCGATGCGTGTCTTCCCAGTTTTCTTGCAGCGTGATTTGACCAACCAATAGCCGACAGGCGAGAAAATGACGCACCAAGCGGGATGGGAGATAAACCTTGAAGTGTGGCGGTGAGCGCGCTACGCGATGTTACCCTGAAGGAAAATGGGAATTATCCATGCTTTGTTATCAGTACGCGATACGTGGATCTGCAGGAGATATGCCAGAGAACCCGGCTGCTGTCGTCTTGTCGGTGTGCCTGCCCGAGTTGCATGGCTGGGGAGGGGTGGCTGACTTTGGGCGCCACCACGAACTACCTAGTAGTTGTTGGCGCGAGCGACTCAGTGTTGCAACACCACCAAAACTATACAGAACCGCTCTCATGGCCGACTTGTATTTGAGCGATACTCGTGGCTGCCTGCGACTTGAAATTAGGAATGAAGCCTGGAACCATGGCTCCAGTCAAACCCCACCACCAGTCACTGCTAATGTATCGTCGGTTCGTTTCCGACCGCGGGCCGCGATGAGGGATATAACACAACCCAACCGGATCCTGAAATCCAGCCATGAACTAGGCTGCCTATGCGCTCTTTATCAGTGAGGGATATAAACCCTTTTGCCCCGCGCTGGTTCAGCTTGGACTTTGTTCGTCCCCGACGAACGATTATCATATACCAGTTGCCTTGTCTACGACATGGGTCGCTTCGCTCCCAGCATACCGGTCCCACTGGGACTTATGCACTCTATACGAGGCAGCTCAACTCTGCCGGCGGTATATCCTGCTCATAGTATCCGACTGTACTCGCAGACTCAGAGCGACCAAGTGGCCGCGACTCGTTCTACGATAGCACAACTCCTGCGCCAAATAGACTCCAAACACACCGCCCAACAGTACCTCTCTTACTTCAGCACACCCACCTTCTCGTCCCGCCCGTTCGCCGTCATCAAAGTCGGCGGTGCTGTCCTAGCTGACCACCTCCCATCTCTTGCATCTGCAATCGCCTTCCTAAGCCAAATTGGCCTCTACCCGATTCTCGTTCATGGCGCGGGGCCCCAGCTTAACACGCTGCTCTCTGCCACGGGGATCAAGTCAGAGTTCCATGATGGCATCCGCGTCACCGATGGACGTACCCTGGCACTGGCTCGCACAGCTCTACTCGAGGAGAACTTTAAGCTTGTTCAGGAGCTTGAGAGCATCGGTGTCTCTGCCCGGCCGTTAACCTCGGGTGTTTTTCAAGCTGAGTACGTTGACGCAAGCAAGTACGGTCACGTGGGCCGAGTCAACAAGGTTGAAGACTCGTCTATCCGGGCGGCTCTGCGCGCATCGTGCGTGCCGGTGCTGACCTGCATGGGAGAGACTTCCGATGGCCAGGTTCTCAATGTTCATGCGGATCTGGCCGCATCTGCGCTGGCGCGGGTGCTGCGCCCGGAGAAGGTCGTGTACCTTTCCGAGACGGGCGGTTTGGTGAACGGAAGAACCGGAAGGAAAATGGACGTGATCAGCCTGGAGTGGTTGCGGAAGCAGGAGTGGGCGCGTTTAGGGATGCGGTGGAGAGTGAGGATGACGGCTGTGCACGATTTGTTGGAGGGAAAGGATGGGGAAGAGGTAAGGGTGTCAGTAGTACATCCTCGGGGGCTGTTGAAGGAGGTCTTTGCGGGCGAAGGCCATGGAGAAGGGACGGTGATCCGAAGGGCTAAGGCTAGGAAAGAAGTTGCTCCTGAGCCCGTGGCAAGAGGAAGCGAGATGATGGTGGGCCTGGTTGATGGGCAGGCGGGACTGCAGCAGCAGGTTGCTATGGTCTGACCAGGAGACTTGCCCGTGCGGTAATTTTATTCTTGCCCTGGCGGTGTCTAGGGGACTTTTCTTATCACAGTCTACTTACAGTACATACATTTAATTGATTCCAAGGGATGCTCACTTTGGCGCCCTGCGAACCCGCACCGGGTCAACCTCGGCCCAGCCCTAAGCTGCAGAGTGCCAACAACCTGAAGAAGTCATCATCTTAAACCATCAAGCAATAGACTAAGCTATCTACCTCCAGCTAGCTTGTTCATTGAAGAATGTCTGTCAACCAGACAAATCCCACCGTGGCGGCAACGCACTGATCCTCAACCGACGCGTGAAGCTCTCGCCCCCTTTGATTGGAGGAAGATGGCCGACGGGATTAATATCGATCCCGTCCAGCAATCCATTGTCTTCAACCACTTCCCCTCCGATCATCCATCACGTTCCCTCTCACATGGCTACAATGGGATTTTGCTCGCGAACTCCAATGGTGGAGTTGTGCGGCCGACCGTTCGTTCTTCCCCACCGTAATAACTGGTTCTTCAGGGGAGAACTGCCGATCCTGCCGATTCCTACCCATTGCGACCAGCATAAAGGCAGCGCTCCATCCGTCTGCCAAACTTTGCTCCAAGCTGCCAGGAACATTGTTCAGAGTTTGAAGTGGCCAAAGTGAATCTTCTAATTCCTCACTCCAACTAATCATGGCTCTCCGATCTGCCCTACTTCTCGCCACGGGCCTGTCCATGGTCCAGGCCCGGCCGGCCATCTCCAAGCTCAGTGCACGCGGCACCATCGCCAGCGACGAGATCGTGGGATTTGACCAGACGGTCCCTGACGATGCCACGGGCACATTGTACCTGAACTACCAGCCATACCTTTACGTGGTCAACGGATGTGTACCGTTCCCTGCCGTTGATGCGGAGGGGGATACCAAGTGAGTACAGTACAGTACATTATAACCCCGCATACACCTTCCCCTCAACCTGTCCCTTCCCCGCACTCCATGCCCTCTTTCCTCACTCCTTATCAAAAACCCTTTCCAACTCCCCAAAAGTGCAGGACTCGCCCCCACCGGCGCCTCCGACGGCGACTGCAGCTCCTCGACGGGCCAGATCTACGTGCGCAGCAACGTCTCCTCCACGGGCGACTACACCTACCCGACCGCCCTGCTGTACAGCTGGTACATGCCCAAGGACGAGCCCTCAACCGGCATCGGCCACCGCCACGACTGGGAGGGGGTGATCGTCTGGATCTCCGACCCCACCGTCTACACCGCCGACAACATCCTGGCCGTGTGCCCTTCTGCCCATGGCGGCTGGGACTGCTCCACCGACGGGTACACGCTCGACGGCGTCAAGCCGCTGATCAAGTACGAGAGCATCTGGCCCATCGACCACTCGTGCGGGCTCACGACCACCGTCGGCGGCACCCAGCCGCTGGTCGCCTGGGAGAGTCTGCCCTCGGCTGCTAGCACGGCGCTGTCGGATACGGACTTCGGGAGCGCGATCGTGCCGTTCAAGGATGCGACGTTTGACGAGAATCTGGCAAAGGCTACTTATTAAATTAGCCTTGAGGTAGGAAGGGGGGTGGGTACATGTGAGGTTTGCAGGTGGACATGGCTGTAATGTTTCTGTGGCAGAAGGCTCCTGGTGACTGACTGGCGCTGGTGTACATAAGTGGTATTCTGGTTGAATCGTGGGTCATGCGAATGTCAAGTTTACTGGCTAGTACTACTGAGGAACACAACACGATCTATATAGGTCGATGAAGATTTCGATACCTATATGATCATTCACCGGGCCGATACAGCCTGTCGGAGAGGGACAGTTTGATGGTGCAGCTTGCCCAAGCCAGTGCAACCGGAGGTGCGAATGGCAACGCGGGTGGCGGCAATCCTGCTCGTGCTTCTGCTCTTCGCACTGCTGCTCTTGTTGGTCGCCGTGTTAACGCCGGTACTGGCCGTCGCGAGGCAACCGGAGATGCCGAACGCTCCACCTGTTGCCAACAAGGAGAGCAGGGGGGGAGGTTCACGGACACAGGGTGTGGTTTCTTTTCTTCGAATGTTTCATCCCCATATTTGTCAGACCTGGCCACTTTTTCGGGGGTTTGTGATTTCGTTGTCGATTGTTTGGAGGCAATCAGAAAATTCAAAGGTTTCTGTGCAGCGATAGATGAGTTTTTCAAGCATGGATCGGCCGCTGTTTGGCAGCTCACAACCTTGTCTTTCATCTCTACGCGATACATCCAGCATGGCCGCCTCCTCTGGATCGATTACAAGAAGGGAAACCAAAAGGACACGAACAACATATTATGTCATTCGCATATGCCATTTGTTGTTCGATCAAGCTTCCTGAGAGTAAAAAGGAGTTTACCGTCTACCTCTTTCCTCTTCTCATTTTTGAGTCAAACAAAGCAATGACTCTGCAATCTAAACAAGGGCTTGTTCCATGGAAACATAAGGCTCAAGCACGTCTTTTCTGAGGCGGGTCTCGTGTGAAGCCCTAAAAGTCGATCATCCGAGTCCCTGGGACCTCAAGCTCCGAGAAAAGCCTCAGGGTCGGTCGTCTTTGTCAGAACCATTCGAGTCACCTAGATACTATGTTATCAATATCCTGCGCAGCGGAGAGAGGATGACGGGATGTCAAAACCAGCAAATCCGATGGTAAGTGGAAAAATTCAAGCAGATGATCGCAAGCACAATTCTGGACAATCAAATCACCCGCTCAATGCCACTGCTGCCCTTGGCCGAACGGGCATATCACTTTTCACACTCGTACCTTGTCACAGATAATGCGACGCCCAATCTAAGTGTAGCGGAGGTTTGATATCTTGAACCGGAGTACTTCCACTGCTATCGATGCTAAGTCAACTAATTGTTCGGTACGTTTTCTCCTACTCTTGGATGATATCGGTGTCCATTGCAATATGTACCATGCTTCGAAAGGGGTTTACATCATACCGTCATGCCTACCATACAACGAGCGTCACTGGGTAGGGAGCATATTACCCGTTCGATTGCATCGCATGGCTTCCGTGGTTGATATTGTGCATACCTTTGGGAAAACCCCAGAAGAGGTCTGAGAGGGACTCCACTCCGATCTCAGATGCAAGGCTACACTAGTCCAAGTGCATGGAACAACCACACCGGCGGGTGAGAGCCTGCGCGCAGCATGGCGCAGAACTTGCTGGCAACTGTACAGCGCTTTGGAAGTATGCTTCCGACTTGAACTATCGCTTAGTCAGGACTAAAAGCATAAAGGCCCATCACCACAACAGAGAATAGCAAAAAGGCGTCCTATACCATCCAAAGTCGATCTTTCAAGATTAAACCAGAAGGAGGGAGACACTAAAAATATGGAGAAATCCGCCACGGGTCACGGAGAGCACTGGCCTGTTGAAGGTCCGAATGACTGGACTCCCGAAGGGGGTCAGATTGGACGATCAGTGAGTTTATTGGGCTATTGGCCTGCTCGAAAGACTGAGAGATCCATCCGCTATCCAGCACATTTTGACGTGGACGGCCTCATATGGCGGTCTAAAATGCCTGTAGCGTCCACGGCCGTCCATTATGCCCACGGTGCCGCGGCCTTGGAGCTGCAGAAGTTATTATTGAGGACAACCCTGTCATTGCGAAGGCAGACTGCTGCAACACCGTGGAGAGAGTCCTTGATCTCCCACCTGCGAGCAGGAAGTGGTGATGTGACTTAGGGTGATCGTGTCAACGGCTTGACGAAGACCTCATGAGAAGGAGCTACTTCGCCTGGGAGCCGAACATTTGTAATTCGCTATCTGTGGATCTGTGTTGAGGTCAGCGATGTGAACTGAAACCACCAGGCGGCTAGGCATCTTGATTGATTTCTACACAACATGCTGGGTCCTATTCCTGTGCACATAATGGTGCACAATCCGGAAGCGCTTGGAAAGCGAGCCAATGCTCCGTGTTCGGTGAGCTGTGGAAAGGATGCTCGATAATCAAGCCTCCTTTAGTGCGTACACTCAGTCTGCTTACTAGCTCTTTGGTTAGGGTGACTGTTCTCGGTCAGCTCCCTCGAGATGAGTGGTTTCAATAAAGTGGCTGAGGTATGCTTGGCGCGCAGCTGTGGGACCATACGTGAATCAAGGCCGTAGCCTGCTTCGAATGGCCAACGTTCTGTGATTTCATAGTCAATGGTGGTCGCACGTACATTATGCGACTGGATCATGCGGACAATGTAGCTAAAGACCCCTCGCTTCCTGTTCCCTGAGCCATCTAGCAACTGGCTGACACTCGGTACAGGTCGCACGCACGTGGAAGCAAGATTCAGCGAAGAAGAGTGGAACCCCGGGGCAATGTCGATTGGTCACTATGCTACGGGCTCACTACTACGTATGGAAGCATCTTGCTGTGATTGAAGAACGGAAGACAGCATCATGGCTTGGTTGAAAATGGTTGCAATCATGATCCCGGCACCCTAAAGACCGTGCAGCTCCGTATCATGGTCACGCGAGTATCTCTGCCCGTGGATGCAGGAAGTGCTAGTCACAGTAGCTCCAGCGAGAATGTTGCAGACAGATGAGACCATTTGTTTCAGCTGAACTGTTAAACCTTATTGAGGAGGGTCAGGCGAAGGAGCAGCGAGGTGCTTCCCATGTTGCAGACGCTTCTGCTCCATCCCTTGAGATGCCATATCCGTAGACAATTGCCGCAACAGAGGGAGCTTCTCAACCGGATGGAACGTTTGGTCACTCAGAACGCGACCTTGTTTCCAATGTCGGGGGTGAATACCGCGACCGCTACACGGGATTCCTTAATCCATTACCCCACACGTCGAGGGGAGACATCAAGCACAAACTACCTTCATTCCTCGTATTAGCAAAGAGTTACTCAGATCCCCGTTGTCCAATAAAGATTTGGAATAGAAAAGAGCGTCCAGCGCTGTCGCGGAAGCCTCCGATGCCCCTCTACCGCCTGCTGCGACCCCCTTGGAGGTTGCGGAGTGGAAGCTTGCTCGGGAGAGGTCGCGCCACTATTCTGATGAAGTGAACTTGTTGCGAACCATCTGATCTCAACGAGAGCCAATTACTCAGCTTGAGAATGTTCTTCGTCGCGTTGCGCGAATCTTTGATCTTTCTGACCCCACCATTCCAACCACTTCGACAGCCCCTAAACAGAAGACGAGAGCGTGTCTGGCGCCATCTATTGTTATCCAACAGCCTGCTCTCCACCTCCCGCAGCTGCTGAAGAACGTGTCTTGGTCGGGCAGGATGCCTGCACGCCCAGCACCCAGCACCGTCGGTACTTCTCTTCACAATCGGAGAGATGATTGGATTGGTGCTCCAATCCCAAAATATCCATGATGGCTGCAATAGTTCGAACATGGACGATGCAGCTTCGAACAGGCGCTTCAAGAATAATTTCAAAACAATCATACGCCCCATGTAACCGCATCCTTACCTGGTGTGATGGGCGGCCCTCAGACCCAGAAGATCCCATAAGCACACTGATTGATGTTCGACTGCCAGGTTGAGATAAATAAACCCTTCAGATTAAGCCGCAAACCAATTTATTCATTATTATTCACATTCATATCAACGTTTTGTGGACCACGTGCCCTTGGCAAAACCTTGCCCCCGTCCGTGATTCGATTGTATTAAATCCACCCCGTCCGAGGTACAAATCTACAAATACGGAGTGCACACCACACCTACATACTCCACACACTCCACACACTCCACACACTCCACACACCCCAGACTCCTGAGGTAGTCAGAATCCAAGCATCTTCCACACCTCTCAGAGGCGTCATCATATTCTATTGCACCCCCGCCACATCTGCCAGAAACGGCGGGTGCCGACCAAAAGATAACGGCCTGACTGGAACACATGCAGCGTCAGAGCGAAAAGAACCGTGAAGTACGCCTATCACCGAAGCCCCCTTACCAAGAATTCTACCACTATTCCACCACCACCGTCAGACTCGGAGAACATACGTGAGAAGGTACACAGAGCTCCAGAACGTCCAGAGTCTGAGCCTACCAGCGAGCCTACACCACCGATTGGTACACGAGACCCTGAAAACCCCCTTGGCTCCGCCACACAAGCGCAAATCGTTCCAATCTAGGGAAGCCGTCTTGAACATGTTCCAGGGCAAGAAGACCGTCGACGAGGATCCTTAGCCGGTTCCTCATAAAGCACATAGGCAATCAATCTTAATTCGCACCCTACAAAGAGCGTTGCATTTTTGGCGCAATAGGCTAGGAAGAGAACTATGGGGATTACTTTCTGAATCAGACCTTATGGCAAGAAACATCAGGACCTTCTGGACTTTACTGGTAGTTTCTTCCTCCCATGGTATGTGCTCACAGAATCGTAGACCGATGACGTGGCATCTTCAGGCCAATGAATACTTGGCTCAAAGTCCTCCTGACTCTCGATGTGCAAACGCTGGTGGCGTTTGATAGGGGAGCAGCGGGCCTACTAAAAAACGGGCTGTTCGTTTGCACATGGCGGGAGAAAATGGCCAGATACACCTAGCAGGCTGTACATGATACATCGAGCAGCATAGCTGTATGACCTCTGCAAATAAAGCTACAGCGTGCCAGTCAATGCCAACATTGTTACCCCATCCCAGAAACAGCGACTTGTTATTCAGATCCTGCCAGCACGAATCCCCCAGCCCCAACCACCAAATTGGAACCTCTCATTACCATCCATGAAGACAGGCTCGGCATCAGCAATCACACTATGAGTGAAGGCTCGCCCAACTTTAGATATGCGCATCCCGAGCTATACTGACCCGTGGACCTGCCCCACCTGCGCGGAATGGCGCAGCCGTACAACAAGCAGGAGATCGCCAGAGCCCGGAAACACATCATCGCTGCCATAGCCTCCCGTCGGATTCCGTATCGGTTCGAGGTTAACGACAAATGGTCCCGAACCGTCTGGCTCTGGATGGAGTGTAGTCGGGGCGAGTTCCTCGCTGCGGTATCTACCCTCCCCAGGTAGGAGAAATCTCCTTATTCTCCGAAGTGTCAAACTTCCCACAACGGGCCTGATAGCTTTCCTTCCCGGAGAAGCCACAACATATCACTACCTCAAATTATATTGCCCTACCACAACACAAGACTAACCGGGAAAATGCACCAGCGTCATCCGCCCCGGCACCACCGACCAAGATGACCCCAACCCCTTCCGCGCAGACCTCTTCGTGGTCATCTCCACGGACCAGCGACTGGTGGAGGTCCACTGCCACTGCGAAAGCATGGCGTGGGCCGATCAGCTCAGCCCCTTCCAGCGGGAGCTGTGGCTCGATGTCACGAAATTCGGGAACGAAGTCGCGCAGTGGGATCTGCAAGGCCCTTTTCCCACAGGCTTGTTGGACCGGTATGAGAGGCTGGTCCGGTACGCGGCTGGACCGCCGGGGGACGATGGCCCTTGTGGACGTGTATGAGGTTTTCCACCCGGTGCGGACTCATGAGGATTGGAACCGCGTGCAGAGACTGAGGCATACCTATGGGGCTTGGAGGGAGGAGCAGTTGTATCATTCGGGGTTTCGCTGAGTGGGAATAGGGTTGGCGGAAGGAGCCCGGGTGAGGTTGTAGGGCTTGGTGGGTGGTGGTATCGAACGTTGAGCTGTGGGCCCTCCGCGGGCCGCCCCTCCCGCGTCCCCAGCTTGCCGCTTCTCCCATCTAACGAGCATCTCATCCTCTCTTCTCTCCAACCATGCCGACCATAGATGCCCTTCCATACGAGGCTCGAAAGGGAATTGATGACCGCTTCCAAACGGTTCCTAGAAACATTCCAGTTGCAACCCACGTCCATGAGGGTGGCCTCGACTGTGACACTATCTCCATCCGCTGTAAATATGTCCAAATGGGATGAGGCAGGATTTTTCAAGTTCCACAGTGCTCGAAATCCAGCACGTCGGTTTAGGGCTCGGAGAAAATGAGGAGAGGAGCCATACCGTCCCAGCGTTTCCAAAAAAAAAAAAACCTAAGCCCCGCTACGGCGAGAATGGAAGCCGTCCACTTGTATACCAGTTACGTGGCAGCTGCTGAGGGTGATTTTCTCGAAGATGTCTTGATCTTGTGGTCTCAGTGTTTGGGAACTTTTAGACGGTCGAGGTGGGCATTCTGCTTGGATGGATGGATCAGCCCCAATCACGTGGACATTGGTTACTATGGTGGGAGTGCTGAATTGCAATGAAGGCGTGCCTGCTGTGTTGCATAAGAATGTAGGGCAGTAGAAGCGAATGGAACTATGTTGGTTAATGGTTTTATCGGTGATGGCTGTTTTTGCAGTCCTGGATGTACTATACAATCCGGTTGCTAACTTACGTACCCTTTAACGTATTTGGTAAACGAGCCGGCCATGTAAACGAGCCGGCCATGTAAGCGAACCGGCCATGTAAGCGAGCCGGCCATGTAAGCGAGCCGGCCATGTAAGCGAACCGGCCACCGGCCGGCTTGGCATACTGCATACATCAGAATTCTGATTTATATTAGCCACCAATTCGAATATGTAGATAGCCATTCAAAGGCCTGGATGAAGCCCCTTCTTAGTAGGACACCTCGTATGTGTATGTCCAAGAATTCTACAAGCGCTGCAGCGAGGTGGTGCCCGGCAGCGTAGTTGGTTATCTTTAGGCCCTATATTACCGGCTGCTTCCCATACAACTTGGGCGTTTGCAAAGGTCTTATGGTCTTCCTGAATCAAGAAGCTACTTAGGCCGTTCATTGGCGCGTGTCTCTTTGCGAATGATGATTGATGATTCCCTTCAAGCGTTCTTGAAGAGTTGAACGTGGTACAGCTAAAACCGACGCAGCTTTTCGAATTGATGGAATTTAATCTTTTCAGCTAGCCTCAATTGCAAGATATAGTCTGCTTTCTTGTTTTATCAACTGTATGAAAAAATTGTGGCATTTTTGGTGGAGAAATTGATAGTTGAATAGACGCAATTTCTTGGATGTGGTGGTGGTTGATGGGGTGGCCGGTTCGCTTACATGGCCAGCTCGTTTACATGGCCAGCTCGTTTACATGGCCGGCTCGTTTACATGGCCGGCTCATCTACCAAATACATGATATATCTCGATACCATACAATACAAGCACAGTCCAATCTCAGCCAATGGCCATACAGACTGCCTGACATAATAGTTATAACTTCTACCCCCGAAGAGGATGGTTAATGTCATGTTGATTCTCCCCGTGATTGCGTGATGTTCCTGCTTACTGAGAAGCTTAACCCTTAGGGGTGGCGATTATCCATCGCCCCCGCGCTTGATAATCACGACTAATCCGGGGTCCGACTGGAGATAAGTGCTGGAATTAAGTCCGAGCTTCCGAATAGTGTAGAGTTCTATACATAGCCACTGCTCTATACATAGCATATATAAGAATCAGTCATTGCACGACACTCCCGCAGCATATCAATCCAACCAAGCAATCCAACTAAGCATCACAATTCTACTCCAACACCCTCAACCTTCAACAATCCCACAGTGCCTAAATCCAACCCCAACAACCACAATGTCGCAACCCCAAACCGGTACCCAAACCGGAACCCAAACCGCCCTCCTCGCCACCGCAATCGGCCAGCCCCTCACCAAAGCCACGCGGCCCATCCCCCACCCCAACGCCAACCAAGTCCAGATCAAAGTCACCGTGGCCGGGCTCAACCCCCACGACGCCAAATCCCGGGACTACGGGCTCTTCATCCAAGACGCCCTGCCGGCCGTGCTGGCCGCCGACGTCGTCGGCGTCGTGACGCAGCTCGGCTCCGGGGTCAACCGCTTCCAGCCGGGCGACCACGTCGTCGGCCAGGCCGCGCTGGTCCTCCCGCACGGCCACCCCTCCAACCTCCGCTTCTCCGAGTCCAACAACGACACCCAGGGGCTGCAGGAGTACGCCTTGCTGGACGAGCGGTACGCGGCCCCGGTGCCTGCGGGATTCCCGGACGCGCAGCTGGCCACCGTCCCCACGAATCTTGTGACGGCCGCCGTGGCGCTGTTCGATGCGTCGGGGCTGGGGATTCCGTCGCCTTGGTGGGGCGAGGACTCGGCGGCGGCGGCGGGGCGCTTTGATTATGCGGGTACCTCGTTGCTGGTTCTGGGTGGGGGGTCGAATACGGGGAGGTTTGCGGTTCAGCTTGCGGCGCTGGCGCGGATCGGGCGCATTGTGGTGGTGGCTGGGGCTCAGAGTACGGAGGAGGCCAGGCGGTTGGGCGCGACGCATGTTGTTGATCGGACGGGGAAGTCTGGACTGGAGATTGCGGCGGAGGTGCGTGCGATCGTCGGCGATGAGTTGCTCTATGCGCTGGATACGATCAATCCGCCTGAGAGTCAGTGGATCGGGGTCGAGGCGTTGTCGAATTCCAAGACTGGGAAACTGGCAAGGCTGATTCCGAGGGAGGTGGTTGATGAGTCCAAGCTGTCGACGAAGAAGGGGGCGGGCTTTGAGACGGTGAATGTTATGGGGGTGTCGACGGCTAGACCGGCGACTGCGGGGCCCTTGTGGAATAGGGTGGCCGGCTGGGTGGCGGAGGGGAAGATCAAGCCTACCGGGTATCAGGTGCTTCGGGGGCTGGATGTGGATGCGGTCAATAAGGTGCTGGATGGGTATTCGAGCGGTGCGGAGACGGGGCATTGGCAGGTGCATCTGTAAATGCGAGCGAATGATGGACTTGGGGTGGTGGGTTGTATGCGAGATGTACTGCAGCTTTGGTCTTTGTCGGGTTGATTGACTTTCGATGTGTTTATGAATGTGCCGAGAATACTGGTAATGGATGGACGACTTGCAGCTTGAAATTGGAAGTGTCTGTTTAGTGTACTTAATGGTTGAGTTGTATTGGGATACAAAGCTTGGTATGCTTCCATTTGGAGGTGGGGTATGTAGTTAGCCCTAACGACTTGAACCCGATCGATCTGCACAAATATTCCTACAGTTGCCTCTGCGTGAAGCATGCTCACTTCTCCACCCAGAGATGGTGACCATGTGCAGTACATCAGCTATGATGCATGTCTATAGTTGCATTTGTGTCATTAGAACTCTCTTCAAAATGAAATCCCAGACCACTAGTAGCAGCGCATACTATGCTACAAATCTGCTGGAGCCGTCAGCAACCCTTCTTGCCAAGAAATGTGTCTCAGGCAGCATCAACAGCTAGGCTACCATGGGCAAGGGCTGTTGCCTGTCGCTGCTGCCTGTGCTGCCCTGGTACTTTGTCCCACGCCGAATGCAGAGTGGATGTGCCAGAGATGTGCATCCGCGGACCGGGAGCCAAGCAGCGTCTCGTATTGCCCCGCCACTGATGCAAACACCGATCGAGCGGAGATGACAGACAACCTTAATTTAAATTGCGTCTCTGATCCAACATCGCATCATCACTTTCAAATCGTTTTTCACTCCGACGTTCCGTTATTGCACGATACCTCAGCCCTTCCCCTAGACCAGCAATCATAATCATGGCAATCGACCACACAAGCCTCTACGTCCCCGAAGCCCAATTCCAGGCCTGCCTGGCCTTCTACCTGGCCGCCCTCAAGCCACTGGGCTACGAGGTCCGCTACCAATTCGGCGAGTTCATCGTGGGGCTCGGTTCGGTCCACGACGACATCGGCAGCTACCGCAAAGCCGACTTCTGGGTCATTGGGTCCCAGACCGTCTCCGAGCGTGCGGCGCATATTGCATTCACGTGTCACGGTATAGCCTCCCGCGTCTTCATTGCCGGTAAAGTAAGGGGGGGTGAGGTGTGCTAATGAATGGTGTATGGTAGACCACGCGACCGTGGACGCGTTCCACGCCGCCGGAATCCAGGCCGGGGGCACGGACAACGGGGCCCCCGGATTGCGGCCGGATTACCATGCCACGTACTATGGGGCTTTCGTGTTGGATCCCGCGGGGAATAACATCGAGGCGGTGGATCATGGACTTCGTTGAGTGGAATCCCCGGGAGGGAATGGCGGTTGGGGATGATGCCGCTTTACTGGGTGTATGGTGATGGGGTGTCTATTTTACCTTGTTTTTGCCCAATTAATTTGCTACTTCGAGTTGCTTCAACATCTCGCAGCCTCAGAATGCGACATGGAACATGTCGAGGCAAGGAGGAGGGTTCGAGCTCTCACTGCCGGTGCTCCTCTCCAGTCGTCGTGTGTTAAACATGACAGGGTTGACGACCTGGTGCAGTTAGCATCGGCACCTGGCACTCTGGCGTCAGGCTAGCCTGGATTAAGGGTCTTTGGCAAACCACATGCCCGGTACCCAATGGCCGTAAATCAATTCCACGATAAGCAGGATGGGGGCAGTGCGTTTAATAATAGTGAATACTTAGCCGTCTGAAATTTATCGCTAGGTTTTACCCGAAACATGGCAGGTGGATATTGGGTAGCAGTGATGTATGCACTTCCAACAGGTGCTCGGCAGTAGTTATTCGTAGGTAGTAATCCATGCATACGAGGGACAGTAGTATTACGTTAAGAGTTTTCCCATCACCAAAAGCTCTAGCAGTCAGGGTAGCCAGAATACCCCTATATCCTCGCAATTACACATCCTGCTTATCTGCTGTTATCTGCTGCCGAGGGTACATATCACAGTTGCTGACCATGTTGCTGTCCATGTACAGTGGAGCTTGGTTCAGAAGTGCCGCGCCGAATCTTCCAAACAGTCGAATGCCTGCCGGTGTTGGGCCAGAAATCGATCACAATCCCACAGGCCAAAAGAGGATAAAATGTGCAAAACAAAAAGTAAAGCCCAACGCGGGGGTTGAACCCGCAACCTTGAGATTAAGAGTCTCACGCTCTGCCGATTGAGCTAGCCGGGCTGACTTGTTGAAACGACTGGATACCTTAGCCTCATGATCAAATGCAAGAACACAGAAGAATAAGTTTCTTTGCGGTTCCTCTTCTCTAGCGGACCTTAGACAATTGTGATCTCTGGAGATGGATGGTTCCTGCTGCATTGCTGCGCTACAAGAATGCTGAGAACAACTCTCGGAAACGTGCTTAGATAAGCTCATCGCTTGCCGGATAACAGGTAGTAAGTGATGGTCATCACACCCTTGAACAGTGTGGTGGATTAACCCAGTATAGGATATATATAGTAATCTTCGCATCACAAGTTCGCTACCCAAATCCTCACTTAGAGTATTCTTTATGCTCACGAAGTTTTTATGCATGGTCTCCCACCCAGCCCAAACACTGTAGATCTTATTTACATTCTAGATATAAAAGCACGATACATATTCAAGGGTAGAAGCCAAGAGTCTACCTCGAACCACCCCCCAACTCCACCAAACACCTCAACCTCGCCTTCTCCAAGCACAGCCCCGCTAACTCCCGCACCGAGGGACTATTCATAATCTCAAAAAGACTCAGCGGCGCGTCCAGCTCCCGCACAATCCACTTCCGGATCCCGATCGCGGACAACGAGTCCACCCCGCAGACGG